CATAAGCATTATTATATTCGTTCAAGTGCTTTTAATGGCATCATAAAGTTAAACAGTCGATACATTTGTTTGAAAATTTAGAAAATGCAGAAGTAGATCGACACCACTTTATATTATAGAATGTCGCCATACCTTTTCTTATTACTTGATCGATCCTGACGACAAATATTAAAATCTTATAGTGATACTGGGCGATCTTCTTGTAATTAATTTAACCAGGATGCTTGAAATGTGAGTACACCACAATAAGTTAAATGTTTGGATCTAATAGGACTTAAAGATAGACCACCCTGTCAATTAGTTGTCCACAGTAAGAATTTAGCAGTCGAGGAATCGTCAGCTGAATAGGTTATGTGATTAATAGACCAGTAGTGCGTTAAAATAAACTAAAGAACATAACTTGTTGAAATATACAAATGGTATGAACAAGTGGAATAGATATTCAAGCAGGCCGCCTCTGATGCTTATTGTCTCCAGATACGGGCTATATTCTTGAAAACATCTATTCCCTGATACCTTCTAACCAAGATTATCCAGTTTTGCAGTCGAAAATGTTTATTACTAGTTTAGGCGACTACTGACATCCTATGTAAAGTGATGTATTTACATCGATTGCTAATTAGTGGCCAATGTCATATTTGTCTGAATAAACCAAATACCTTCAATCAATTAACGTCTAAATATAATACAATTGACGTAGAGTCATTTAAACTAATGATTACACTGGAACTTGATCGACAGAATCTGATTAACACTAAGGGGGACTAAAAAAAGTGACATTGGTCACTAACCAGTAATCAGTCAATCAAAATAGATAATCTTATCGCCTATTGTTCAACTGATGAATATTTTAAAGTTCCATACTTATTATGATTACTATTCACTTGTGGTCTCAAAATGTCTTTTATTTATACTAAGAAGCTAAAGAGTCAACTTGCTTCCTTTAATTATTTACCACCGTTTTCTGTTCTTCGTTTTTAGTTAGATTTTTTCTTTTTAATTTCTATGTCATTCCATCCTGATATCAAATTCAAAGCGTAAATTTATTACTAGTTTGTAATCTTTTCACTAGCTCACTGTCCTGGGATTTCTATGTTGGTATTCCAACATCTTAATTATCATCAATAAAATTGAACATTCTCATGTTTGATTTAATCGAAATAGTAATAGTAATAACAATAATAGTAGTAATGATACCGATGATTATCTTCTTAGATAAACGATAATTATTTCATTGAGATGTTGACACCTAATTTTCTCTTCAGTAAAACAAAGAACTAGAAAATAAACGTTCCTTGTTTTTTTCTTATTTTGTTTAGGTCTTGTCACTGTTGTCATTTATATTGTGTTTGTTTTGTTTTCCTCGTCAATATCATTTCATTGTTGTTTGCTAGTTTGATTAATTGCTTGTTTATATCAAATGTACACCTCTCCATTGCAATTTTTTCTGCTTCTTAGGCGTTAATTTTAATTAACAACAACGACAATAACAAAAAAACTGTTTATTTCATGTTATGTTTTTTATTGTAGTTCCTATCTCTTATTTAACAGAGTTAAAAGGATTTTGCGTTGAAAATGAGATGTTTTTCATTTAGCCATACTTCTATAGGTGATATAAAAGATGTACAAGCCGATTATCTATTACATATGACATATATATAATAAGCTGGAAGTCATTTTAAAGAGAAAAATTTAAAAATTTATTGTGCTGCTGGTTATTTATTTTATTATTTATGAAAATAATATGTGAAATAAACTGAGCCATTGAAATCTAAATAATTCCAACGTTTTATCCAGCAAACGTGTCTGGACTTTGAAGAAGATGTAATTCATATATATATATCAGGCATACTGCCGAAATCCCTTAAATAAAAAAGCCAACGTTAATGACACAATCCACTGCATAATAATTGATAATTCTTCGCCAATCACCGGGATATTGTTTGCAAGAAGAAACAATCAATAGTCATGTAAAACAATAGCTCCGAATGGATTGAAAAGTCTCAAACACAAATAGAATGTCTGATTTCATTGCCTTCTGTCAAAAACTACTCAATGATTACCATTGTATTTATACACAGTTAAAACACTTTACAGTTAATGTGTTATCATGTCCGTATTTCTTGAGGAAAATAATCCTATTGATTTATAATTATTTACTATAAACACAAATAAACTTGAATTAGTATCATCGATAAATTTTTGGATTGAAACGCCAACTATTACATTTTTAGACAGCTTTATTGATTCGTTTAACATAATTACTAAAATGTCTGATAAAAAATTGATTACCACTTGTTGGCTGAGACATAGTTTTCATACTTATTTAATAAACAATACAATGTAACGAGGTTTTAAGATTATTTTTTCTGAGATTATAATTTTTTTTGGATCTTTAATCAATCTTGGACTTAATAGATTCATAATTTATGGGCGCTTAGTACATAAGTAACATTAATACTGATAACACTTGTACTATTCTCACTAGATGAAATTACATTGTTTACGTTATACCTTTAGAAAGATTGGATAAGACATATTGCTTGAAAAAGCCGTTAGTAAATTTAAAGTTCATATACCTTCAATGAATGTGTTGAACCACTGCTATTCCCACAATGCTGAGTAAGAACATCAAGACTTGTACAAATGGAGATTTATTAAACCCAAAATATGACGACCCTAATCGAAAATACACTCATTATATACTGATTGCACACCCATTTCGACTAGTAATTAGGATAAATTAAATTTATGAAAAATACTCAAGTTGTAACAAGTCACATGATGCATATCATGTTGAGCATAGTTCATGTTAATTTAACACAAGGAATATTGTATCTTGAATAAACTTCACATTCAAATACGTTAATATAGTTGAAAGCGTGAGTCAATTGAAGCTAGACCACCATGGAAAACCTGGAAACACTGGACGGCCGTTTCGTCCTACTATGGGACTCCCCAGCAGTGCGCATCCACGAACCCACTCTCGCGAGCGAGATTCGAACCCGGGACCTACCAGTCTCGAGCCGAAGCCCTTAACCGATAGACCACTGAGCTGGCATCCAACGGTGTTAATGTCTAACTTCAACTGATCCACAAAGTTGAGCAACCATTCACCAATTGTCTTCAGTGAGTTCCTATCTCACAACAGACGTGGTTTTGAACTCCACTGGTCACTGCTTCTCACTAGAGCTCCTAGATATACTTCTCGAAGTCACTAGTGAGCATATGATTATATTAATTATAGGAGGGGTTTTGTGGAGATTTAGTGTTTACTATAGTTGAAAGCGTGAGAAGTATATCTAGGAGCTCTAGTGAGAAGCAGTGACCAGTGGAGTTCAAAACCACGTCTGTTGTGAGATAGGAACTCACTGAAGACAATTGGTGAATGGTTGCTCAACTTTGTGGATCAGTTGAAGTTAGACATTAACACCGTTGGATGCCAGCTCAGTGGTCTATCGGTTAAGGGCTTCGGCTCGAGACTGGTAGGTCCCGGGTTCGAATCTCGCTCGCGAGAGTGGGTTCGTGGATGCGCACTGCTGGGGAGTCCCATAGTAGGACGAAACGGCCGTCCAGTGTTTCCAGGTTTTCCATGGTGGTCTAGCTTCAATTGACTCACGCTTTCAACTATAGTAAACACTAAATCTCCACAAAACCCCTTCTATAAAATACGTTAATGTTATAACGAATAAAATATCACACTGAAAAACAAAAATACTACATTGAGTAATCACCATATTGAATTAAACAAAAAAACAGAAGTAATGTTGAGCGGAAATCACAATGAATCGAAATTTCATTTGGACTTTTTATCTCGTCTTACCAACCAGGCAGTATTTTCTTTCTTATTTTGATACCATAATCTGATATTTTTAGTTTTGGTACTGGAAAGAGTTAATTTCGTCTTTAGATTAAAATTTGTAATCAGTTCTAGTGTTGTTTTACAATTTATAAAGGCTTTGAAAGAGTATATTCATGATCACCTACAGCACTAATAGTCTCTATGATACAAAAATCCGCGAAAGAACAACTATCTTTTTCTCATTTTCACTTCTATCGTAATTTCATGGTAATTTCTTTTATATACTGATACCATTCATATCTTTGTTTGATCACTTCATTCTACTTTTAATCTATCCTCATAATAATAAGCATTTTCTGTTAGGATAAGCAATATTTAGGTGTGTGTATTGTTATATCGTGTGAACTCGTAATATATATGAACGTGCAATTAGAGAAGGAGCGAATTTATTGATCGGACGCAAATGATACTTGAAATCGTACGAGCAGTCTTGATTACTACTCGGTCCTGCTATATGCCTAGCCTAGCCAGTTGAGTTCAGAACACAAATAACAGCCACGGCAATATGAATCATTATTTACAAACACACTGGGTTTTTATACAAACCAAAGTAATCAATAAACTGATTATAACTCAAGAATCGTATGATAATAAGTCAAAGGTCAAAATAAAGCTAATGATAAGAGAAATACGAATATGAATAGTTCAGTTACGTAATAATTGTACAATAGGAAATAGGCATATTACATTGATCCATAAATAGACCTAAAAGTTACCATTCGTAATTCACCGGGGGATATAACATGTATTATATATTCCGATCAGTTAAACCGATTAATTTCGACTTGAATTATGTAACATAATTTAAAAGGTGTTGCTATTTACATATTTTGTGAATTGATGAAACTATATTTTTGATCTCAAAGACAGACCACTGTCCTTTAAAATAATATATATATATATATAAACCAATTTTTTTATAATTGTGGTCGAATGTCATTGATGGTAATAGTTCGTAGAAATATCTCTTTATCAAAACCCAAAAAGGGATGTATTCTCCTTTGTCGGATTCTCAACATTCAAATTTTATCAAAATCAATAAGTGTTCTAAAGATTACTTATTTATTCTATTTATTTAGTAATATATTTTGTCAATTATATAATTTTATGAACTTCTTTAATTGATTTCACTGATACCCACTGATTAGTGAATTTATTATTACCTGTATTACTAATAGTCATTTAAGTTTATTGTCATCAAAAAATCTAAAAATAAACTGTTATTGAAACTTCACTTTATGGAGTTTCTTTTTGTCATCATTATAACTATTTACACAGGTACTCAGCTCTAGTAGACCTGTATATTTATTCGTTTACTTATACACATATCTATATAATGAAAAAAAAATCAAATATATAGGACAAATAAATCAAAAAATTCACAAGTAATTTTATTAAATCTAAAGCTTTTTTCTACCCTAGAGATAAGTTATGTAAAAAAAACTTTGTACTAGAAATAGACTTTTGTTGAATCAATTGTATTTTTCTCAGCGAACAAGCACAGAGATCTTGAGTGTCCTGGAAATTTTTATATGGACTTTGGACTAGTAGTACTACTTCAAACTTTCAGAGTTATTCCTGTATCAAGAATCCAAATTGTTTATTAATTAATATAATTAGTATGAAAATATTTTATTAGATGTGTGTATGAGGTTTGGACATAAACATTGTATTTAATTATCTGTATATTGAAACAGTAACAATATGAGTCACGTATAGACTGAATATTAATGCGAATTGTTGTTATATGTCTGAAGTTTTTGCAAATTATAAATTAGTAACTGTAACTTCTCAACACGTCAACGGTCAACACTCTTTTGAATGTAGACTCGGTTGAAATACTGTAAATGTGCCAACGAAACTTCAGTTTCTCTTCAAATTATAATTTTTTCATTATTAACCAGACTGTAACTGAGACACTTAAATACCAGTTGTCGGGTAAGAAATTATGGAGGATTCATATGAATTGATTAAGTAGAGATGCACCTGTCAAGGCCGTCTACTTAATACAACCTCACTATAGATATGAACTTAAAAATAAGACTGACAAGAACAAGAGCCCTCCAGATTCCTTGAATAACAAATAAGAATGTTCGAGGATGAGATCCTTCTCTTTTAAATCCTAAATGTTGCTTCAAGATTGCTGTTTATTAACGTATAGGTTAACCATAGGAAGCAAGGTTGTTGAATACTTAGACAATCAAAATATTTTTTATGTCCCATCCACTCTCAAGCTTTAGCTTATAGAACACTGTCATAAGTATCAAATTCTCTTTTGTCTACAGCTTATATTCATTTTCTCTATTCGTGACATTACTATATTCATCAAATCCTTTTGTTTCAAATATTATTAATTTCATCTAACTTTACAGATATGATTCGACAATTTTATCAGATGTATGTTTGTGTCAAGTTCCACGTGATTTATGAATGGCTATGACTGTTTCGTCTTACAGTATCACAAACAGTGTATACTTTAGTATCTGCACTTCATTATAACGCTTACAAAGTTATATTTTGTTGTTCAACTTAAAATGTACTAATCTAAGAGAATGAAGTAGTGTTTGGGCTATTATTATTTAGAGTGCATACAAATAAACCTATTATCTATTCTGATGTAATAATCCATGATGTATCATACACTGTTCAGTATTTGAATTGAACCGTATTCTAACTGATGATATACATGAATAGACTGACTAATTACCATAAATTACTTAAGTTTTATCATAGTGAATTTCATTTAAATTTAGGCATCAATATCATGGTTACTTTTTTGTTTCTGCATTCTAACAAGTACATCTTTATTTATAAAAAGACTTTATTCTATTTTTGTTTATACTTTTTTCCTGCTAGAAAGTACATCTAGTCTTAATAATCCAAATAAAATTAGCTCACGAATACTTGAAGATGCCGCATTAAAATTATGGTCGAATTTGAATTTGGATAGAATAAATTTCAATAACGAATTGTTAAAATTAAGTGCAAAGTTAAGAGAAAATATTGCTATTAATCTAAATCATCAACATCAAAATCATCATCATTGTAACGATGAGAGTGACAATGATAGTAACAGTAATAAGTTAGCACAGATTTTATCTCTGTCTAACTTCAAAATAAATCCATCACTGCCATCATCATGTTCCCAATCAACATCGTCATCTTCTATAATACATGATAATACGAACAATAATAGCAATAATACTGTCACTACTATAAGTACTAATAATGAAATTCCATTATCGCTAACCAATTATTCAACTATATCACAAATTGCTCAGTTTGCATCGGCTGCTAACCTTTTCAATTCTACTGGAATTGATCTACATTGTCCAACTAATTTTTATGCAATTCAAAATAATAAATTGATCACTTCTAGTTATAATACTGATGCTCATACAAATATCGCTGAAACCTTAATTTCTAACAGTTTAACCACTGTTACTTCCAATACAAACACTTTCGTATCTGCTAATAATGCTACGTCTTTTACAAATTACACAACTTCTCACTTCACTGGTAACTCTTTTCGAAGCCAAGCAGAAAGTTTCAACTTGAAGACTGAAAATGAAATTTCATATCATCTACCACAGCAACAACTGAATCTGCCTGATAATTACCATCACCATCAACAACAGCAACAACAAACCACGAAAGCAAACTTTTGTGAAACACAAGATGAGCAGATAAACAACTCAGTTGAATTGAAACAGTCAAAGCCGTCGACAGAATTAATCAAAACTAAACAGACATTATATTGTTGTTCTATATGCCGACAAAGATTTCATTCAAACACTGGTCTAAGACGTCATAATTTAGCTTTACATGCGACGAAAGCTATGAAATGTGACCAATGTGTGAAGGTTTTCAGGTAAATATATGTACTGATACGTATTTGTACTGTTATAAACTTTATTTGTTGATTTGAAAGGTTTTTAATAAAAATGAAGTATTATTTTGTTTATTTGTGTGAAGTTAACTATGATGAAATACATATTATGTATATGCAGCGTTGGAAATAACGTTCTCTCATGTATAAGGAAAATCTTTTTATCCACTTGTATTTCTTCTCTAACCTTCGATGATGTCTGATCGAGACTTTTGCTCCCAGTTTGCTATCTTTAGTTATGTTTCTCAAGGTAATATTTTCTACTATAGAAACAAAGTTATTCTAAAATAATATCAACTTCTTTAAATATCATGCTTTTATGTGATTTCCTGACTTCTCTGTGTATCATTTTACAATAGAACAAAACTACTTATTTCATCAATATTAATTATCTAATTTGAAGTTTACATGTAAGATTATGATGTCACTTCATTCTTTCCCTTCCTCACTTGTTATCATATGATTCCTAATGAACCAATAATCTCTATATTGCTTAAAGCTTAAGAATGATCACGAAAAACATGCCATTTCCGATTACTGTTGATAAACTGTTCTAGGATTTCATCATTAAATATTAATTTGCCTAAATCGAATTATTTTGATTACTTGTTGAATTAATTAATCATGTTAGTGAATGACTTTTCGTAAAAGATTATTTCTTATGGTATACACATTGTTCAGTCATCAGTATTTATTCCGTAGTAAAAGACGGGATGAGTAGTTAGAAAATTTGAACTGGTTATCAACTTATTCGATTAATGTCATACAGTTAGTTTCCTTTATGAATTAATTCTGTATTATTCTGTATTGTTCTGTCTTTATTTATTCCATTTACCTTCGTAATTATTTTTTTCATACAATAAGGAAGTGAAATATTCATATTAAAAAAAAATTCAAAACTAAAACCTCGCTAGTTTCTTTACATTTGGAAATTTCAAATACAGGCAAATACATTTAACATTGTACAACAAAAACTTCCATTGATATAGTAACAAAACAAATTTAAATTAAATCAAGGTAATAAAAGAGTAGCAGTAATTACTGTAAAGAAAGAATAAACACTTTTTTAAAATTTATTGATTATTCTAACGAATGAAAAACATGTTTGAATATGTTACACATGTAATATATATATATGCATGGTTACAACTGTATGCTATGTATTATATTGTCTATATTTTTATGTTTAGACTATGAATCCTTATTTATTTACTAATATGAAATAAATTAATGAAGTATTCAAATATAATTGGTAATAGTAAGTAATTAAATATTGATCTGTTATACTTTTCATTATAACCATCGATACAAAAACTATGACGTAATAAAAAAAATTGAAAAGTATTCAAAATGATACAATGAATGTAGATTAATTATTGTATATGTTCATTTTATTAAATAAAACCATAGAAATAGAATTGAATGCAACATAAGTGAATTAAACAAAGTAAAATATAATACTTATCTAATATATATATATATATATATATATGAATTATGTTTTGTCTATAGAATGACTATAGTTTTGTTGTCGTCGTGTAAGCTGTTCATGCTTCTTTTTTTCTCTTGTTTAAAATGTAACCGAATAATAAGTGAAAGAAATAAAGTGGAAAAAAAGATAATGAAATGCTATTTCAATATGAAACTAGATTATTTTTCCAAAATTACTAATCAATCAATACTTATGGCATTCCGAATATTGGATGCCAAATAGTTATCATTGATAGCAATGGATAATAATCATGTGATATCACGAAATGATTAAGTTTAAAAAATGATAACTGTTGTTTAACAACCCTGTGATCTAAAAAGAAACGCGCTTACCACAAAGACTCCACATACTGGGTTCTACTCTTGTCGATGTATATATATTAAAAGAGCACACCGACCAGGAGTTTTTTACCGGGATGAAATAATTCTTCAAGGCATTCTGATTTCCACTTTTATTTAGCTAAAATTACTCCACAATGTAAAACTACAAAGTGGGCAACCTTCATAAGCCTAATCTCATTATTATCTATTTCTTGAGATTAGTGAATAGGTATTAAGTCGATTTAACATTTATTATGTAAGAAATATAAATAGTTCGTGCATGCTTATAGATAGGTTATATTTCTCGAACGGCGATCTCAGTTAACACACTATTGAAAACCAGTGAGCACTAGAGTGCTATTTCGTTCTGGTATGGGACTCCTAGACAATGGGCACTCTTGAGCTCACCAAAGGTAGAATCTAAAACCTTCAAGTCTCACGGTGAACTCTCAACCGTTAGGAACCCTGGGTTACCTCCTAGTGGTGGGATTCCAACCGTAGTCAGTTTGAGATTAAGCGTGACGATGACCAGTTGTCATTAATAGCAATATTGTCTAAATTCAGTCAGTCATGACTTTTCATTAGAACTTCAGGAACATCTTGAAGTAATTCAATAACGAGTTGACTGTCATAGTTTGGTCGAACAAGTTTTGTGGAGAATGGTCGTAGATTGTAGTTTTTATTCATCCCAGTGTTTGCCATGGAATATGATGATCATGAATTTGATCTCTGGTGGCCTCATAGGTGTAAACTGATGATGAGTGCCCTTACTAGGAAAAAACAGCTGTTTAGTGTTCCCTAGTCATTAATGGTACCTTAATTAAAATCACTCTGTGATGAATACAAAATATAAAATTGAAAATTATTGCCTCATTAACAAAGAAAGCAAAATGTAATCGAGAATTTCAAGTGTCAAACAAAGTTAAACAATAATCTGGAGATAATAAGAATGAATATAAAACATGAAAGTTGTGAATGATAGCTGTCAGCATTGAGGAACATAAGGAAGACAACGAAGAGATCGGCATATGTCGAAATCAATTTGCGAAATAAGAAGTGATTATAGCACCATGTAGAATAAACAATTAGACAAACCGCCTCTGTACACAAAGATCTTACATAAGTTGATAAATTCCTAAATCCTCTGTTATGTACAAGTTTCTCATACAGCTTCCCCTAGAATTTGTTCTTATATGTTGGTAAATTTAAATGAGGATTTTGGTAAATATCTATGTTTATAATATATCACATTTTTAACATAATACTATTGACTGACTTACATTCACCTTAAGATGACCGTGTTAGGCCATGTTTGAATATGTGTTTGCAAAGTGCATGCTTTTAATGTCCAGTTATAAGTAATATTTTTAGTCTGTTATTGTTTACGATTAATTACCTGTAATTATACTATTATTGTATAACTTGGATTATGATCTTTATCCCTTACAAATAATAAACAATGATCTATAAATAATGTGTGTATCTTTTACACTCAGCGAATGATTTCAGCAAATACTTTAAATAATTTCCAGGATCAAAAATCAAATCAGACTTTATCAGATTTATATCTAACATTATAAGTTTTTAAGTTTAATTATCAATGTTCACTTATTATACATTGGTCTTGTAGAGTATTTGTAAAACTTAAATGTCTTTTTATAACACTTAACAGCAGTTGAGAAACTACTAAAAACTAGGGAACACTAGAGAGCTATCTTGGTTCGATCTGGGCTCTCCAGGCAAAACACATTTGACTTATAAACTTCAAGTCCTCCAAATAACTTAGTTAGTCGATAAATGAAAAACGTGTATTAGTTATTGGATAGCCTTCAGGTGAGTTAGCTTATTTTCTGGAAAGCCATGACTTCTGTAGTTGACCAAGATAGGGATCAGACAGTAATGTTAAGCTACAACCTTTATGAGGTCTGAAATCTGAACCATTTTCAATGAAAACTCACTGGCCCCTCGTTATCATAAATAATGTGAACCCTGGAGGTCATGGTTTGTCGTATGTGAAGTTACAGGTGGAAACGTTTAAGGAATCACAAACCAAGATCACACACTTATCTATTGATTTCTGGATATCAATGATTCGCCGACTGACTTTATTTTACGCTTACAGCTACTTTAAAATATAAGTTGTTTGTTGCACGTAACGTGTAACTACTCATTTATTAATCTAAAATAATTTGAATTGCTGTAGAACAAGAAGCATATAATCTACTGTCTTATATGTAACCACTTTTCCAATCATATTTCGAATAAGTTAAACATCTTGAATAATGGAATAAAATAACTTTTTCAAATATTGTAAGGTCTGGGACATGATTTTCAATGAAGTTTTCATTTCCATCATCTAAATCTATCTACGTATGTCTTCTACGTACACCCCATTGTAGTGCATCCCAATTTGCAATTTGAAAAAGCTGAACATACTCTAAGTCAGATCCTAGAACAGAGTCATCAATGGAAGTTATGCTCCTATATGCAGCACTTATTGATTAAGTGGAAGAGAAAATATCCGAAAATGCTTGATACCACACACAAACTAAAAAGTGAAAAACTCTATAAATTAATGGACACTAATTCTATATTATAGAATCTTGCCATTAAACCTAATGCAAATCTTTTGCCTTTTAGTGTTCAAATGATAGATAGATTATTTTAATGGCTTACTTACGAGATTATTGTTGTTGAACATAGTAGTATATAATGAATTAATCTTTCTGTAGTGACGTTATATGATAGATAATTTCTTATGAAATAATAATGAAACTACATTTTCTGCTTTATAATCTCATCTAACTGTTGAGTCATAAGACTAAACGGAATATTCATCGCAGATTTCACTAACCGTCTCATTATTTCTGAGTACATTTTCAAACTTTAAGTGGGTACACAAAGTGTTATGTCATTTTCTTCTTTAGATATTATTGTTTTATTTCACCATGTTCTAACAATGTTTGAAGTGGTTGCATAGTTTCATTTCGTCTGTTAATATTTCAATTTTTCACGGTCTATGAGTCTTGAGTAATAATAATTTTTCTTATTTTAACGTTAGCAGAGATTTATGTTAAGTTTTTCACTGTATCAATAACTTTCCTTATAAGCATTAAATGAAATTTCTCTTAACTTTTTATTAATCATAATTATTTAGACATCAAGCAGCTTTATCTGATCATAAAAAACGAGTTCATGGTCCACGTGAATATATTTGTGGTATATGCTCTGCAGATTTCGCTACAGAAACTTATCTACGTTCGCATGTACGAATTCATGATGAGAAACGATTTGTTTGTTTAGAATGCAAACATGGTTTTTCAAATCCATCCGATTTAAAAAATCATATGCGAATACATAATGATGAAAAACCATTTGAATGCGAAGTAAGTATATTATTATTACTCATAGCGTTCACTGTAAGATCTGAAGATCTTGACTTTGATCCTCGGTGACCTCATGGATGCAGACTGATAATGAATGCTATACTAGGAACAGACAGCTGTTCAGTGTTCCCTAGTCAATAATCGTACCTTAATTGAAATCACTCTGTGATGAATACATACCATAAAATAGAAAATTATTGCCTCACTTACAAAGATACCAAAATGTAATCGAAAATTTTAAGTGTCATCTCGTTTTAAGTATTATTATTCTATATATGATTAGCGGTTTTTTGTCTGTTAATGAATTTGTAGAAATGAAAGTCTAATTTATATTTAAGCAGTTGCTAGTAATAATGATCAGTATTTCGAGAAATTTTATATTTTAAGACAGGAAGAAGTCAACATTGTCAACTAATGTTTTTTGTAGAATTGGATAGTGAACAAATTTGTGACCAAGTACAAAAGTGAAACGAAGATTAGAACTTGAATGATAATAATCTCGCAAAATTTCAGAGATATTATCCTCATGTATAAAAAGTTATTGCCAAACTACTATAAAGATATCAGTAGATATTGTAATATACTAAAATATACTAGAATTAATAATAACCGTTTCACTAACACGTAAAAATAATGTTCATTAGCAATCACACCAACTGAAGTCTTCTCTCATTTTCGGCGCTAAACTGGTTCAGCAGAACCATGGAGCTAATCAGAATAGTTAACAGAAAGATCACTGCAAATGTAGCGTAATTCAATCGAAAAAATTCCTACGAATCACATAAAGCCCAAGCTTTATCGATATTCAAAGTCTAAGATTTCTGGTATTAAACTGGAAATCGCATAAAGTTCGAGTGTTTTCTGCATTTTCATTCTATAGACCACTACTGACACTATTAGTAGTCATTTGAACACAACGAAAAGGTGATTACTCGGTCTTAAAATTGCAGTAAGTGTTGTGAATTTATGCCCGGCTTTTTATTGCGTGATTTATTCACCAATCGAAATACGACATATCCAATCTTAGCACTGTGCCAAACCAATGACGTTCGACCGGTATGAGCAGCTAGCGTCCTTATTGATTCTTTGTCCGCCTAGCCCTTCCAGTTGAGTCCAGAGAACCAGTAACAGTTTCTGCTATGCAAATCATTTATTTCAAGCATGCTTGGTTTATATACCAACCAAACAGACCACATCACATCATAAAACAGAAAATAACATTTTGTTGGGGTGATCCAGAAAATTTCTCGCAATAGACAAGAAAGGCTCAAGAAACACTAAAAAGCATCTTATCCAATCAGCGTTCACTAGAAGTTTTGCCAAAAACATCACGAAAGTCAAGTCACATGTAGAGTTTCTGATTGGCTGATTACTACACTGCTACTATGTTTAGTAGCATTCCAGAATTTTCAGGAAAATGCTAGGACTTCTAAAATACTATAAAAACCCTACAAATTCTGTACATGTATGAACATTTGTAGTAAAGTGCTTCTCACATATTTTGCACCTTTTCTTTCGTGTTTAAGTCACTGTGTAGATTTAGCTTTGGGAGTGATGAGGCCAGCTTAGGATTCGAGTATAGTGTTCAGTTAACAAGACTTATCACATTTGTACAAGATCAAGCCAAAACGTGGCTATGAACGTGAGAGACAATAATCAATAAACTGAATATAATTTGGGAACAGCGAATCGTAAGATAATAATTTATTGATCAAAATGAAACTTATGATAACAGGAATATAGATATACATAATCTAGTTACTGAACAGTTATACAATAGGAATATATATATATATATATATATATATATATCCACTAATAGTTCTCAGAAGTTTATCCATAATTTATTCTTCACCAAGACATAACAGTAAGTTGATTTACAGCTACGTAGTTCACCTTAACTATTATTTCCAGGAGCCCTGAGCTTTCAATATAGAATTTTTTTATGATTAACACCAATTTACCGACACTTAAATTTTTTATTTAAGTACTATCCTTTTCCATAAAATTTCATTAAAACCTTACATAATTTCACTTAGTATTATTAATATACTAGAAAAAATCAACTTAGTAGTGAGGTTGTTGTCTGTTGTGTGTTTTACTAAAATGGGTCAATTGTGAAAGGAATAGTATCTATTTGAAGAAGGAATCAAAGAAATGTTTGTGAAAATACGACTGGATTACGTTGAATATTACATGAAGTTCACTAGATGTGGAATAAATAGATTTTAATGAATTGACATATAATCAACTTGAATTAATGGAGTGAACCTAAATATCTTCAAGCAGTTAGAATCCATTTTACCCACCAATAAATGTGGATTCAAAGTTAATTGAATTTCACTAATCAAGTAGAGAAAAGGAACACTAATTTTCAATCTAATTCTTAACGATTGTACCAGGATTACTACTTTTATTCACCATAGAAAAAAGGTGCTAATATACAAGCATTTGCTTGAATGTTCATTTAATTCTAATACGCTTATAATATTACAAAGGGGACCAAACCTGATAACCTTAGGATATTCTGACACCTAACTCACTTACTCTTTAACATTTGTGCTTCCATTCAGTTCAGCTGATGTTCACTTTTGTATTAGAAAAGATTTTTCAGCCTGTTCTTACTTGAAATGCTCTCAAAATTCGCCTTTCTAAAATTCATAAATGCGAAACTTATGGTGATTATTACATGAACAACCCGATAATTTTGCAATCCATTCGTTTGAATTAATCTCATTAGAAGATTGAGATAAATCATACATTTTTTTAAAATTTTTAATTCTAATTCACGCCATACTAGTAAGCAAAAATACTGTTTTCGATAGTTAACTATTAATTAGTTATTAAGTAGCACAAATTATACACTAGAATATTGTTCTTAGTTCCCATTTTTATTTCAAACATGATTTTCTCTCAGTATTTAAAACAAGGGTTTTCACCAACTAATGTGTTCTTATTCCATTAGGTGTGTGGAAAAGCATTTCGCCATGTTAGTGGATTTTATGCTCATATACGAATTCATACAGGTGAAACACCATATCAATGTGAATTGTGTGCAAAGAAATTCAGTAATGCAAGCAATTTTCGCATGCACAGAAGGGTGCATACGAAAGAAATGCAGTTTCGGTAAACTTTTCATGTTTAAAATTGTTTAAGTATTATAAATTTGTCGATTATTGACTGAAAAAACTTGATATTGTGAGCATTATTTCAGAATTAAAGGAAAAGCGAGTTAATCATTTGAACTAGTGTGATACAACTCAAAAGGCGTTCTCAGTTGAGTCAAATTTATCCCATGAGTTACATCTCAAGAGATAGATCATATGACCTAATTTCCAACTTTCCAAATATTTTTGTAGATTTATCCAAATATATTATTTAAGTGGAGACCGATGTCAGGTTTCTTACTAGTTGACATTTGTCTGATGATTATATGTTTACTCTCAAACAGCTAATGCTCTAGATAAGATTCGAACCCGCTTTAAGTACCGTTGCAGTTTAAGGCGCTCCTATTAAAGTGACAAAAACTCAGTCATTCTCCTATTGGACATTAACTGAGTAATAACTAATGGCGAATTCGTCTAATCGGTAATGCTAATCGAAGCATATTAAACAAGCTGAGATCTATCCAATCAATGCTAGTTATTGTACAGTTTCCATTTCATAAATTATCGTGGACCCTTCCATTCAAATAATGATGCTAATTTATTTCTCTTTATTTAATGACGAGATAATCTATTTTTAATCAACAGCCTAAGATATAAATATGCGTAAGTCACTTTCTTATACTTAGTAACATGAGATTTATTATTTGGACCCCTAAACAAACAGCTATCGCTGACATGAATGTTAAATATTATTCGAAGAGTCGAAGACATTATTATTTGTAATGGTGAGCGTCCAGTCGAAATCATTATATGATGATACTTTGTTTAGTAAATTGAACAATCTACATTATAATTCTCGTTAAACGTTGCCTATATGTTTTAATGAATAGTTTGACAATTGTACTTTGTAGAAAATACAATATATTCAAATTGCAATCTTTCACATTCTCAACTTAAGTCAATTTCAATATAGTTCTGTCCTCTTTCAATACATCCATTTGAGTAAGACTATTTCATAGGTTACAGCTTCTTACTAAAACCCACTAATCCATCACATCAACTGTTATATAACTAAGTCGTAATCCGCCCCACTAGATTCAAGTTAGTATTCCCACTAAGACCCGAAGCTCTTAAGATCTATACCGTGTAGAATATTTGGTAGGCACTGTCGAGACATCTTGAGTAGAGATGATACGCCCATCCAATGCCACGTAATTCTCAATAGTTGTCTAGGTGGCGTCGGTTCGTGGGTTGTGAAAATACTAGCCTGTGAAACAAAATTATTTGAAACTTGAACCCCCCAGTTTAGTTCACGATTTATTATTTATAGATTAATAAAGTTGAAAACAAAATCATTCTTGTGGGTAATTATTATTTCTATCTTGTTAGGATAGTGTTTAGCTTCCGAAATACGAATATGAGTCATTTGGCATAGACATCATCCTAGTAATACAATGGGACGTAGTGTATGATTATGTGTGATTATTTATGCTCCACAAGATATCGTTCCATAGAGCTGCTTTGTTAAGCGTCACTTTCAGCCAATTTATGACCTTAATGTTGTACGGTATTTTTGGCTTATTTTTTTGGTAACATTATATTTTGATAATGATTTCTTAACCATAATTATCTTTTTTAATATAGCTGTCAAACATGCGGTAAAGAATTTATCCAACCAAGTAACTACAGTCGACACTTACGAATACATACAAAAGAAAAACCTTATTCATGTAATTTATGCTCCGCGAAATTTCTTTATTCAACTTCATTAAAACGACATCAACAACGTCATCATGGTTTAGAATTATTAAGATGTCAGTTATGTCAAAAAACATTTTTGAATGAATCATGTCTTATTCGACATCGTACTGGTTGTGAATTACGCGCTTGCGTTAAAACGGCAGATGAAGAATTATACACTCATTTATTATGAAACTAATAATATCAAGACAAACCTTTCTACATTTAACATAATAATTCTCTTTTTACAACTAGAAAAGAATAATAATAATGTGTCAACGTACATTATGAATAATAAATAATGAGTAGATTGTAAATCTTGTTTTGTTTAACTTTTCTTTTAATTCGCTAAAATAAAATGTTCACTTATTTTTTTACGCATCCAGAAAATTTTCAACAAGTAAACTATGAACACTATTTTTATTTGGACTATTACATCATACTTTTTTTTAAGAAAAATCTTTGATGACAAATATTTTACGTCATTTTTTTTCTTTTCTTTTTATATAAGCCACTTTTGATTGGTTTATTTTTGCAGTTTTCTTTTTTCATTTTTTAAAATCAGATAATGTTCTTTACCATACCTTAAAGTTTATTTTGTCAGATAATATTCGTAACAATGAGAATTAAAATAATAAATTTTATATTTTTCATAAATAATGGTCAGTCTTTTTTGAAGTCACATGTTAACATTGAATTCCGCAAACATTCATCATTGGTGATGTTATAACGCTGACTACAAAGTGAATGAATATAAGCGCACTCATCCAACTGTTGTGATTAAGAACTCACGTGGGGATGATTAATTTATTTTTAAATACAAAATTAAGGAATATCTTGGTAAAATATGGGAACCATACACTGAATACTTCATTTGCAAAATTACATCATTTGTCCATCACATTCTTTATGGTTCTTCCAAGTCACAATTTCTTTCTATCTCCGTTTCTGTTTTACTCAAGTCGACCTTCATAGCCTTCTGCTGCCACACATTCCTCTTCTGGTTGGTGTTACATGCTAGTAATGTCAACAGATATGAGTTCTTCTGAACGACACATATCTACATGTATATCCAACCACCAACATGTTAGCCTAGCTGAGGATTTCACATTCCCAACACTTAAATGTCCATCATAAAGATTTTCAAGAGCAGGAGGAGGAATAACAACATGACCATTTTAACACAAAATACCACCAGGAGCATTGGATAACTCGTCCTGCTCTGAAAAATAGGAAATCCACGTTACATATTAGTATTCTAACCGTTCCTTATAGCATTGATTATACATCGAAAGAATCTACGAGTTTCTCTATTGAGATCTGTCTATCTTGTAATGATTGCCAAGCAACGTAGTCAACATGTTGAAGTTGTTTGTTACACCTGTGCTGAACCGTATAGTCATAAGCACTCGAAGCAATATTACATCGTTGAACCATAGCAGTTGAGGAACGTGCTAAGGATTTCTCAAGATGATAAATGAGCTTTAAAGCTTCATGATCAGTATCAATAGTGAATCTCTTTCCAAATAAATATTCATGAAGTCTTTATCAGCCCAAAGGTCCGCCTGAGATGCTTATGCACCCGCGTCTTCTGTTATTTCTCGCCAGATGTTTTCATCAGCGTGTAATAGCATCAAGGACTCAACTGTACTTGGAAGTTCATTTACATACAGTATAAAAAGTAAAGGACCTATAATAGGACCTTGCAGTACTCCAATAAATACTTGTTTCCAGGACGAGCACTTGGAATTTGTTCTTACTTTCTGTCTATGACCTACCAGGAAATCCTTAAGTCATTTTAGGTGAAGTTTGGCCATACCCAGATTTTCCGGCTTCAGGAGCAGTCTATTTGTTGGCACCTTATCAAATGCTTTGGTGAAGTCTATGTAGACAACATCCATTGATATCCCATTATCTAGGTCATCTGTCCGCCTCTCTTTTGTTATAAGGAGGTTTGTTGCGCAAGTTAAACCTTTCATAAAACCGTATTGTTCGCTTTTTAAAAAGTTTTCGGTTCCCACAAATGTCATTATGGTCCGTTTGGTCACTCTTTACAGTATTTTATCAAGACACTTGGTAAAGCTGACAGGTCTGTAGTTTGATAGGAGTTGTTCTGATCATGTTTTATGTAATGAAGTGACAATGCACCCTTCCACTCAGTATGGAACTCACCTTGACCAAGTGACATAATGAACAACATAGTCCATGGAGCAGCAGTGAAATTGTGCAATTGGTCGCAGGATTTCAGGATATAGTTCATCCAGTCCTGTTGACTTTTCCGTCTCTGAAGTCCTAAGAGCCTTATATACATCGTCTCGATCAAAGTCTACAGTGAGCAGGCGGTTTTTTGACCTTGTTTTTGGGTCTAGTTCTTCGTCTACAAGAGGCTCTTGGATGAAAAATGTCCAGAAACATTTCGCCGTCTTTTTCCACCTTTCCTTGATCATCCTCTATCATTTCAGATCTACTCACTTCCATAATCAGGTTAGGAATGCAATGCTGAGTCTTTGCTCTTTAATGCATGTACGAGAATAGTCTGTTCAAATGGTTCAAGTGGTTGAGGACGGAATAGAAGAAGCTTTCGCTTAACGGGCTTCCGTGTCTGGTAGCAGTGGATCACCAATACCTCCAGGCAAAAACCTAGGTATATGAACGATAATAGAGAGAAAAAAAGAATTTGGTTAATCATAGTAATATGTTATCCTTAGTCCTTAAGAATAAGTCAAGTTTTCTCTTAAAGGACTCCTGGGAGGTCGCTTGGGCTAGCTCAGTCGGCAGCGAATTCCAGCACTTGACAACTCTAACGGAGTAGAAGTTGTGTCTGCAGTCTGTTCTGCAATGTAGGGTCTCCAATTTCTGGGTGTTACCTCTCAGGTTAGTGTTGTGACTAAGCTTAAGAAGTTGTTTAAGGGGATGACCAGAAGTGTTAAGTATACTGTAAGTCATAAAAAGATCACCTCCAAGACGCCTGTATACTAACGGGTAAAGGTTAAGCGATTGGAGGCGCTCTTCATAAGGTTTGAATTTGAGTCCCCGAACTGATTTCGTGGCTCGACGTTGGATACGTTCCAGAGTGTCCTTATCCTTTCGGAGGTAGGGAGGAAATACTATGTTTCCGTACTCTAAGTGGGGACGAATAAAGCTGTTGAAGATTATGTGGAAGGTTCTACCGTCAAACTGGCCAAAAATGCGCTTCAATGTTACCAGTGCAAGGTTTGCTTGAGAGGCGTTTTTGTCACAGTTCGCATACGATTTCAGGTCGTAGGGTACCAACACTCCTAAATCTTTTTCAACTTGGGAGACTTCTAGAGGGGAGTTATCTAAGTTATAACTATAGTCTGCAACATGTCTCAGATGGACTACCTTTCACTTTGAAGTGTTGAAGGTAAGTCCGTTGTCGTCTGCACAACTTTGAAGTCAGGTCAGATCCTCCTGAAGAACTAGCATATCATTATGACTACGTATCTCTCTCCAAAGTTTCACATCATCAGCAAAAACCAATAAGTTAGATGAAACTTGTTGAGGAAGATCGTTAATATAAATCAAGAAGAGAAGAGGTCCTAGTATTGAGCCCTGTGGGACCCCACTAGGACATTCCATAGCCTGAGAGAGAGTGAAGTTAACCCTGACCTTAAAGTGTCGGTTTTCTAAATATGAAGAGAGCCAATCAACCAAAGAAGGTTTTATACCCAATTGTCCAAGCTTCTTGATAAGACATACGTGGTTGACCCTATCAAAAGCTTTTGAGAAGTCCATGTAAATGACGTCAACCTTCCCCTTGCGATCAAGGATGGTTGTCCATCTATCCACCGCAGTCAGCAGGTTGGTCATACAAGAATGACCTTTCCTGAAACCATGCTGTTGAGGTGAGAAGAACTTTGAGGATGATAGGTATTCTAGCATACCGTCGTATACTAGGGATTCCATAATTTTGGAAGGTAGTGTCTTTTCTTAGCAGCTGCAGTTTACGGAGCACCAGGTGAGCACTCAGGTCTACTTCGGAAAGTCCTGTACAGGTGCAGGTGAAGCTTTCGTCAGTATGGTTGATGTGGGTCAGCTGGAATGTCCGGGAGTATTGTTCAGCCAAAAGTTTAGCGGCATCACCGTCGTTATTGGTCGGGCCATTAGGACCAAGGAGTTGGGAAACTCCAGTTTTGCCTTGTCCAAGAAAAGCTGCGTAACTGAATAAGCCTTTCGGATTGTAGACGAATTTATCGATAAGCTTGGTATGGTACTGAAGCCTGTCTTCTCTTATTGCTTTTGAATATAAGTTCCTTATATGTTTGCATTGCCTGTATGCGTCGTTATTTTCGGTTCGTTTATATTCAGCCCGACAGTTCCTTTCTCAGCTTAGTAAAAGAAGAGTGCAGTTCTTAATGATTGTAGGTTGTTTGTAGCTTTTTGAGACCATTTGAGGAACTGAATGCTCAGTAGCAAATAAGATCGTGTGCAGTAAAAAAATCCCAATGAGCATCCACTTCAAGTTGAGGGTGAACATCCCAATCCATCTGTTGTAGATAGTCGTGTAAAGCTAACACATTCAGCCGTTTGAAATTCCAGCGCCTGTTGCTAGTGGAATATCTAAGCTCAGTTTTGCTGACAAAACTGAAGGATAGGGCGGCGTGATCACTTTTCCCCAGGGGAGCCAGCATTGAGAGGTCGTCAACTAGGAATTCCTCGTTTGTGAATACCCAGTCTAAGCGCGACGGCGTCTGACTGTTTCTCCAACGAGTTGCCGACTTCACATTTTCGAATAATCCCAGGTCACTGATGAGGTTGAAGAACCGAGCTTCAGTAGAGTTTTCACCTCCAATGTATGTATGTTCCACGAAGTTGATTCTAGGAAGATTGAAGTCCCCTAGAATCATGATTTGAGAGAACCCAAGACGCGTAGAGCGAGTTAATCCTTCCAGAAAACGTTTGTCATACTCGATGTCGGCAGTGGGCTTCCTGTAGATGACCCTAACTAGACACCTTGAGGTGGTAGACAATCTTACTGAGCACCATACTGACTCATCAAGATTGAGAAACTCTTGGTTGTGAAGTTGGTGCGCCTCCAGGCATGACCGTATGTATAATTCTATCCCACCCCCCATTCCAATTTCCCTGTCGTTGAGAAATAAAGACATTCCAGGTATTGCTAACTCCTGATCCATAAACTGAGACGATATCCAAGTTTCGGATATTCTTATCAGATGAGCATGATTAGCGTTGCTAAGTTCACGTAGCTCATCCATTTTGTTTGGCAAACTCTCGGTGTTCGCGTATAAGCAGTTTATGCTTTCAATTTGGAACGCGTGAGCTTCTTCCTGTGTGTCTATATGGGCCGTGCGTGAGTGGACAGGTAGCCTACCTATACAATGTTTACCGAGCTGATAGTCTCTGTCCTTTACATGCTTTTTTTATGATCAAGACAGTTCAAGAGTGGAATTGTCAGCCCCAGCTTTCGTTTGTGCTTGATCCTGCTGTCATGGGGCCTATCCGGATGCATATGGATGCCAGTTGGCAACCGACGTCTGTTGGCACGAAATGCTTCCAGAGTTGCAGCCTTAATGTGGGAGGAAGGAAAGGTTATCCTCAATAGCCGGGGTCTAGAGTCACCATCTCTCTTGGCTAGTCGCATCACCTGTTGAGTCAGTATGTTTTTGAGTTTTAAGGAATGCCTAATGAATTTCCATTCCCGAATATCAGTTTGCTTGAGTTGGGTTCATATTTTCCGGTACACCTTGCACAATGATATTTTTCCCACGGAAAAACGCCTCGCGAGATTCCTTGGGGATGTTCCGGATGAGAGTTTGTCCAGAATACGGTATGTCGGGCAGTATTCTTACGTTCCCATCGGATTTCAGTAAGTGACTGGCTAGAAGGACGTCCTCAACGTCGGAGGCATTCTTAAGTGTAACACGAAGCAGTCGCGGGTGGTTTTGGTGGTTAGAGTCCTTCCCCCGAGTGAGCCGTGTGACGGTCAAAGGCTCTATTCTAGGGAGTTCAAGCCTCTTGTTTAATTCTTCGCAGAGCATCCTATCACTTTTGTCCTGCAAACTGAGAGGAAGGTCCGGGTTGTCAATAAGGTTCATGATTGTGACAGAGTGGTCACGAACCGTAATTGATTTTCCAGGTTTTCCAGGGCGTCTAGGTTTGGTACCTTGTTGTTTGGATGTCGAAGCGCACTTTCTATTCCTGGGCTCAGTGACCACCGGGTGGACAGTCTTAGGGGTAGAATGTGCGGCCAAGTCACCAGTTGATTTCCGCACGGTACCTAAGATGTTAAGCTTCGGCGGGGATGCTTGGGCCTTTTTACTCCTGTCAACATGTGTCCAACCACCCTCAGGGTTTTTGGGAACCACTGTCTCGTTTAAGGACCCTTCCCCGGGGGACCCAAGTTTACTGAGAGGTTCTATCATCGTCGATGATAAGATAGTGCTGTGATGTATATTGGTCATCAAGGTACAGATACTTACACGATGAGTAACACTGCGCTACCTATTTTCTAGACACACATTGACTTAGGAGTCATCGTTAGCCAAGACTTAAAGACTAGCCCCTTCCCAAAAAATGACAGTGAGTCCTTGGAATGGGTTCAGATAACAGCAACTAAGCTGGTTCATGGAACAGCGAAGCTCCCGTTTGATACAAGACTGACCAGGCTAAACCTATTACCGCTTTCATACGAAGAATCAGAGGCGAATTGATCACAGTTTTCAAATTGCTTAGTGACAAATTCGCACCTGATGTGCACCCATTTTTCTTGTCTTCTGTTAGCGGGAAATAAAACGGATTAAGGCATTTTATGTGCATGATCGTGACGGAGCACGCTGATTGGCTTATTCTAAACCATCAGTTCTGGCAGATTATTGGAGAAGCATCTAGGAGCTTATTATGCATATACTATAAATATATGAACGTTTTTCTAACCATTGATTGCTGTTCACCTACCCTTGTTATTTGAATACAATTTCGTCCCTACTTAACGTGTTCTGATTTTATAGGTCTTGTCGAGTGTCATTGTAAAATAATACTAAGCAATAGGAGTAGCTGGATCGTTTATTAGCAAAACAACTATAACATCTTCCAAAACAGAAAATTTACGAGGACACTCCATTAAGATTCATAGGTCCAGAACGAATTACTTGTCAGCTGACTACCGACTTTCCCATCGAATAATCAACTAATGGAATTCATGACCTCAGCACGTGGTTGAGGCTTTATCCGTCGACTCTTTCAAAAGAAAGTTGGATCAACTGAGAGACCATCATTGCCAGGACCAACACAGACCATCAAGCCTACTGTCCTTTCCAAACTGAAACTGATAAGCCCATACGATTAGGTATCAAATCGCCTTTAATTATTTGGCTCCCTTCATATCTAAAATATTGATATCTTAAAGTCAGTGTTAACCTCAATTTCTCTCAGGCTATGGAGTGTATAGTATGGTCTGAAACTACAACTAAGGCAAATCTCCTCTACAGGTATCCCAAGTTGAAAAAGATCTAAGAGTGCCTGAAGTCTTACGCTAACTGTGACAAAAATGCCTTGCGATCGAACTTTGCACTGATAACATTGAAGCTCATTTTTGGCCAGTTTGACGGAAGAACTTTCCATGTAATCTTCGAGAGTTTTATTTGTCCCCATTTAGAGTACGAAAACATAGTATTGCCTCCCTCACTACAAAAGGATAAGGACACTCTGGAACGTATCCAATGGTGAGCCACGAAGTCAGTTCGGGGACACAAATTCAAGTCTTATGATGAGCACGTCCAATCACTGAATATTTACTTATTAGAGGTGAACTTCTAACGACTTATAACATCCTAAGCACTAATCAGTATCCCCTTAAACACCTACCCAGGCCTAGTTCCAACACAAGCCTTAAGGGTAACACCCAGAAACTGGAGACAACACAGCAGAACGAACTGTGAACGCAGCTTCTACCCCTTAAAAGCTGTCAAGGGCTGGAATTCGCTACCGGTTGGACTAGTCCAAGCTACTTCCCAGGAGTCCTTTTAAAGAAAACTTGGCATATTCTCAAGGACTAAGGATAGTATCTTACTATGATTTGCCTTTTTTTCCTTTTCCTCTTTTATCGATAATATTCCTAGGTCTCTGCCCGGAGGTATTGGTGACCGACTGCTACTAGATACGGGATCCCGTTAGGCGAAAGCTTCTTCCATTACGTCCAAAACCATTTGAACCACCTTAATCCCAAAGAGAAAAATCTCTCTTATATATGCCTAACAAAGCTTGAATTTGGAGACTTAAGGATATTTAGAAGTAGGTCAATAGATTTGAAAGAAGATTGAGCGGCTCATAAGAAAAGTGGGAACAATGTGGCAACTGAAAGTGTGATCTCACTCTAATTTTTTTGAACCCAGAAAGCGAACAATATGTTGTTACTTTTACATGGTAATTTACATTACAGTATACACCCGCAATTTTCGGTCTTTACGTAACTTCGGTAGTGCTAAAGGTAAATGTATAGCATAAGTACGAGCGAGTGAGGATCAATGAAGCAGTATCTATGTTTTTTGCATCATTTAAGTATCATTGATAATAAATAGTTAAAATTTAACTCAAAGCAAAGCACATCGACGGCCTATAACTAAATTTCATCCGTCCTCAGTCGGCAGATCCGGGGAAATTTCGGGGTTTTTTCAGTCATGGAAAGAAATAGCTTTCGTCAAAACCTTGGGAAGTCTTGGAAGAAACCCAAGATTACCTCAAAAGTTATAAAGATTTACCCAAAATGACTTGAAATTTCGGGGAAAACCTCCAGATCAGGGGAAATTATGAAGTTTTACTCGCATTTCCCCAAACTTTCCTAATTCGGCTTACCGATAAATTCCCTAAATCCGATAGCACTAACTGAAATCGGGATATTGGGACGATTTACTAATATAGTTACGAATTGGTTTCTGGAAAATATCACGATCATGATAAATTGACATGTACCACAAGAACGATGAAGTTGTGTATGAATTATTGGGGTTTTCACGAGCTAGCTTCAGCTATAATGGAAGAACTAGTTTTCGGCCTATGTCTGTTTGATTCGTTCACATACTTCTGTGGAAATGTCGTTGCATATCGCTTAGGTCATCAAGAATGACGACCAGAAACTCCTTTTTCCTACCATCCAGTAAATTAATAGTTTTGAACATATCATATTTGAATCTACTTCTCTAGATAAATGGCTTTTTAGCCAGTCACAAACAGACAATAAATAGTTAGTTCCCAGTTTTATGACTGAAAAACAGAAAATCTACGAGGACACTCCAAAAAAGTTCACAAGCCCAGAACGAATTACTTGTCAGCTGACTACCGACTTTCCCATCGAATAATCAACGAGTGGAATTCATTACCTCAGCACGTGGTTGAGGCTCCATCCGTCGACTCCTTCAAAAGAAAGTTGGATCAGCTGGGAGACCATCATTGCCAGGACTAACACAGGCCATCAAGCCTCCTGTCCTTTCCAAACTGAAACTGAAACTGTAAAGTTTTCTGAGGGAGTTTTTCAAGACAATATTGGGTCCATCAGTATATTATATGTAGATAATCTGCCTAGTTTCCTGCGATCATCGGTCTTGTTATATGCTTACAACATCAAGATATGCAGACCAATAAAAAGTGCAAGTAGTTTATCTTCAGAAAGATCTTTAGAAACTAGCAGAATGTTCCGGCACTTTATAACACAGTAAAAGCCTTTAAATAAGTTTTTCTCTATATTGACCACCAAGGTATAGATAGATACTCAGTTAATAACGATGAATCACTTTTTCAAAGACATTGACATTCAGTGGTAATCATTTAGGCTTGAAGATCACTGCAAATTGCCATGGAGTAGCTATTAGATGTTTTAAAACCGGTTGATTAATATTTAGATCTTTCAGCCACCTAAATGTCAAAAGATTTATGATATTATTTACAGTCTTCACTCCACTGGAACTTGAGCATTGGTTAAAAGCGCTTAGTCTAAGCTGTCGAAAAATATCCAAAGGACTACATCTGACTTGATACCTAGGATCTCTAAGCTTTTGTGTTACGTGAAATTAGCTAAACTGAGCTTATTCCTTCAAAAAAATATCAGAGATAACCAAATCGTGGTCTTCAAATTACTTGCTAAGGATTTCGCCCTTGGTATGCCTTAACTTTTCCTGTATTCCAGACTAACATCACGAAGGTGCCAATGACTGCCCAGGTTGGCATAAGTCTATCTGCTCATTAGCAACAGTGAGTGCAGGATCAGGGTCCTGCTAGTCTTGTGAAAGTACTTTGCACTTCGAAGGTGCAACGGACATGTCATACCTGCAGACACTGAATGCCCGACTGTTGCTGCTACCTTAACGTGGTGGCCGGGCTTGCCTATCGTGATGAACCAATCGAACTATACTGGCTGGAACAATCGTTCCTCAAGGTCCTACCACGCCAGACAGGTTGGTTGAAGACCGGTAAGACTAAAAGCAGCAAACCCAAGGTCCGAAGGTGAAGTCGTACTGCTGACTGTACAGAGGTGTGACGGCAGTAAGGTGTTTCCTTCAGACAACCAGCATAACATCGACGCCACCTTCCCACAAGGAGGGGTGGGGTTAGAAAAGGTCGACCCTAAAATACACAGCTCACCTTATCCCACGGATATTCGTCTCAGTCGGTAAGGTTTCAACAAGTACAGAGCTAACACAAAAAGGTCGTGTGTGACCGACCTCCAGCAGTTTTCCCTTGGGCACCGCAGTCACGCTCTCATGCCACTAAGACCACTTCTAATCCGATTCCTTTTTCAGGTACCTCTAGAAGAACCCTTCCACGATGTGGACAACCGGGAAGTGATAACTGCCCTTATACCTCTAACAGCACTCAACATCACTGTATTCATAAGCAATCTCCTTCAATTCCTCTTATTCCTTCTACCTCGACTTTCAACACTAAACTTTCTCCTTCGGCTTCTTCCTCAAGTGTCACCATGGTCAACGATTCTAGTGCGCAAAACACTGTCTCACGTCTACTAAAACCTCGCTCCAAACTACACATTTGAGCCTTCAACATACGCACCGTAAGTCAAATCGGCCAACAGGCCTCCTTGGCTAATACCCTAGAATCTCGTACCATTGATGTATGCCGTGTCTCCGAAACACGCATACAGGATCTTAGTGTGGTCATTCATTTGACCTCACCTCGCCAAAATAGAGAGCCAAAGAGATACAGGCTCCGTGTATCTGGCGACCCGTTGGCTAGTTCTCGTGGACTTGCAGGTGTTGGCATAGCACTAAGTACAAGGGCAGAACAGGCACTACTAGAATGGATCCCCGTTAACAGTCGCCTGTGTGCTGTCTGGCTAAATGGCTCCGTAAGAACTCGGAAGGATAGGGACACACGTCGTTGCCTTTTCGTCGTTTCTGTCTACGCTCCCACTGACTGAAGCCCGGATGAAGTGAGAGATGACTTTTACAGAAAGCTCTCTGAAGTTCTTTAAAAAGTTAAGCGCTCAGACATAGTGCTCGTAGTGGGTGACTTTAATGCCCAGGTAAGCAGCTTAAATCAAACAGAAAGACATTTAGGTGGGTGTTTTAGTATTCCGGCTCAACGAACGGATAATGGTAATCGTCTGTTGCAACTATGCTCAGACAATCGTTTATTTTTAGCAAGCACTAATTTTAAGCATAAGGAGAGACATCGTCTAACATGGCGACCACCTGCACCAAACCAACGATGAACTAAAATAGACCATATTGTCATCAGTCATCGTTGGAGAGGCTCGATAGAAGACTTTCACTCGTATTGGAATACATGTTTAGACTTTGATCATGCTTCAGTACGAGTACGCATTAGTTTGAGCCTCATGGGATGCAGAAAAACCACATTAAGAAGACCCATTAGAATTGAACTGAGGGAAAAAAGCCAAAAGTGAGTTCTAGAAAAAACTGAGTCCACATCTAGGCAGTTCTGTAAACGAGGCTGACCCAAATGTTGCTTGGAAAGATATACGAACAGCTGTGGAAACAGCAATAACATCTATTAGTAATTTAAACCAAAGGGTTACAAAAAACCAATGGATTTCTTCTAAGTATACTTCACTGATGGATTCTCGTAAACTCATCCCATCAGGCTCTGAACATATTGAAGAGCGTAAAGAAATCAAATCTAGGTCAACCCAAAGTCTGCGAGACGATCGTGAGCAGTAGTGGGCAACAAAAGCAAAAGAGATGGAAAAGGCAGCGGCTATAGGCAATACCAGGAAACTCTTCAGACTAATAAAAGAAACCGGAATTAATAAGTCAAGTGTAAGTGAAACGATCTTGGAAAAAGACGGAACCCTTATTTGGTCTCCGCCCAGACGTTTAGAACGATGGGCGGAACACTTTAGGGAGCAGTTTAGCTGGCCTTCAGCTACTGCACAACTACCCACTATTCCCAGACAGTCTGAATGGAACATTGAAGTAGGCCCCCCGACCCTACTTGAAGTTTAAAAGGCTATAAGTAATCTGAAACGAGGAAGAGCAGCTGGTCCAGATGGATTGGCTCCAGAGGTCTTTAAATATGGTGGTCCAATTGTAGCGATTAGGTTGACTAATATTCTGGCTAAAATCTGGGAAACGGACGTAATTCCATCTGACTGGTCACAAAATCTGATTGTCCCAACATATAAGAAGGGGCCAAAATCATCCTGTGATAACCATAGAGGGATTAGTCTGACTAACATAGCATCTAAAATACTAGCCTCAATAATTATCGGGCGCCTAACTAAGACTCAAGAACTCCAAACACGAGGAAATCAGGCTGGCTTCAGACCTGGTCGTGGCTGTATCGATCACATATTCACCATTCGTCAAGTTTTAGAGCACAGACATGCTTATCGGCGTCCGACAATGATAGTTTTTCTTGACTTAAAAGCAGCATTTGACTCTGTAGACCGAGAGGTTCTGTGGCAGTGTCTGTCATTGAAAGGTGTACCTGAGAAGTACATAAACCTTGTGAAGGCTCTTTACTCGAACACTATCAGTCGAGTGAGAGCTTATGGCGAACTGTCATATGATTTTACAACCTCAAGTGGTGTCCGTCAAGGCTGTCCACTATCCCCATTTTTGTTTAACTTCATTATAGACCTGTTGCTGGAAATAACACTCTCGTCGACTGAATTTTCAGGAATTGATCTTCTACCAGGAGGTTCACTTATCGACTTAGAATACGCAGATGACATAGTCCTGTTCTGTGAAGACACTGGCAAAATGCAGAGTCTTCTGTTAGAACTGAGTAATAATGCCAGGATGTTTGGGATGCGTTTCTCCCCATCCAAATGTAAATTGTTACTCCAGGACTGGCCTGCGTCAACACCTGAACTAAGGATAGGGAGTGAAGTAGTCGAACGCGTCGACAACTTCACTTATCTTGGAAGTCTGATCAGCCCTAATGGGTTGGTGTCTGACGAAATCTCAGCACGGATTCAGAAGGCTCGTTTGGCTTTTGCCAACTTACGTCACCTATGGCGAAGACGAGATATCCGTCTATCAATTAAGGGACGAGTATACTGCTCAGCAGTTCGCTCTGTTCTACTTTACGGCTGCGAAACATGGCCATTAAGAGTAGAAGATACTCGTAGGTTACTAGTATTTGACCATAGATGCCTTAGAAATATTGCTCGCATCTGCTGGGATAACCGGGTAAGTAATAGTGAGGTTAGACGCAGGGTATTAGGGAATGATGGTAAATCAGTTGATGAGATCATGAATCTTCGTCGACTGAGATGGTTGGGCCACGTGTTACGTATGCCTGAACACCGATTACCACGACGTGCAATGTTGACTAGTGTAGGGGATGGTTGGAAGAGAGTTAGGGGTTGTCAAACCAAAACATGGCATCAGTGCTTGAAGTCACTAACTTCTAGTCTAAGCCTTGTTGGTAGATGCAGACTACCTGGTTGGGGTCCGCGTGACTATCGTAACCAATGGTTGGAGACTCTAGGTGACATGGCTCAGAATCGATCACAATTGCGTAGGTGTATACACTTTCTGTCTTCCCTTAATCATTGAGATTAAAATTGGTTCATAAGTTTTTTCCTTCCTATACTATATCCTTAAATACAACCTTTCTTTATATACTACCACCACTAAATTAATTACTTCTATGAATCCGGTGTTCATCTTGTTGTGCTAACGAGGTATGGCAACTTGGACTGATGCATATATGTGCCTGGTCCTACGTTGTTACTGACTGACTGACTGCTCGAAGCTTATTGATCTCCGAGCTCCTAACTTAGTAGCCGATTGAAAAATGAAGACAGCAAACAGACTAGTTTTCTGTTTTACTCAATTCCATTATGATTCAAAACACATGCAATAATATATTTGAAATGTCTGACCATACAGCACACCAAATAAGAATTTTCATTAAGCACAGTCATATAAATGGTAAAAGGTTGAAGAAACTACACAGTTAATCAGCAGTAATTTAAGAATAATAGAACATTACGATAGTCAAAAAGTCCAGTGAAAGCTTACAGTAAGAGAAACATGGAAATGCAACAATGAAGTTATCTACAAATTATACAATACAGATACAAATAATAGTAATCCAAAAAATAGCGTGGAAAGTTCCAAGTTTTCTAATATTCGTCCCATTACACGACAAACTAAATTGAAGTGGAGTTCGATCCAGCGACTTAGGGTCTGAAGATCGACCATTAAGCTACTGCTCTGTTAGATAACTTAAGGTAACATTTATTTTGGTTTTTGAGGTATGCTTGTGCATTGCTCAGATTTGTTTCTTAGACATTGTAGCCTGTTTATTTATTAACGTTAATTAACATTGGTATATTTTGTATGTCCGGTTGCACTCCATTGAGTTTGTGAGTTATTTTTTACTTTTATTATTCATAGAATATATAGGCCTGATGATGATAAATATGATGATTCCAAGAGAAATTTTTCCCTGTCGTAGTTATCATTGATTTATATGGGGTCTGTGATACTGCTCAGGTGCCGAAACAGGTGGTTTTCTTAGGGGGCTACACCCGAAGTCTTTGACGTAAAGGTCTAATGCATAAAGCAGCGAAGCAACGTAAAGAGATGCAGTCCCATGGTAGCCGGTGATCAATAGTAGGCTCGTACGCCATTCGCTCCTTGAGGATCCTGGAGCCCATGTGCACCAGTGGTTTGGAATCAGGGTTTTCTCACTCCCCTAGGCGAATCCAACAACTCGGTTAACGCGCCGGACATTCGCTTTTCGTCCTCTCAATTTCGTAAAGAACACATCCGCCACGAGAGGACAGTGAGTAGGACTTCCCTGATAGTGGTTGTTTACGCGTGGCCATGTCAGTGTATTTAGAGAGGAAAAGCAGGCTCTCCATCCTCGGCCGTACCAGGGCGTTTGGAAGCAAGTGCCATGTACCACCGTCAACCTCACCACAGTTTATCTAACTGGGTTCACAAATATGTATGTGTTCGCTAACTAATTAGCGTACTCACATCCTGCAAGAGATTTAAATTTTTTAGAGCTTCAAATACTACTAACATCTAAAGATATTTTCTAGTTTGGTGTTTAACCAACCCATTCACATTTTTTGTATATCTTTTCTTATCTTCGTACGAACCGACGCTGTTAGTAGTTCTATATCGCGGTTATGTTTTTGTTTATTTGTTTTCGTCTACATTCTTTTGGGTATTCCAGCTGATATTTCTCAGTCCCTCTCCTTTATCTTCTGTTCGCATAATTTAATGGGTGTGTAGATTACAGTTATTTTCCATCATACTTGTTATATACTTTCAGTACGTAGCGAATTTCAGCATATTATTGAAGCAGCTATTACAGAAGTGCTCAAACTTTTTGACTATCATCGTCAAGAATTAATGTAGGTAATATTTTCTGCCTGTTTTGTCAGTAAACTGCATTTATATGGTTCAAACAACATTACACATGATTACTAATCGCCATTTTTACAGTGTGCAACTTCAGTGCCGTCGTTGTTACCAAAAAAGATTTGCTTAATGGAAAGGAATATTGATAGATTTGATATTCGTCTTCTACATATCCCAAATATGTCACAATCTATACCAAATTCTATTCAATAATCAATTGTATAACGTTTCTTTAATATAAGCCTATGCACTACCTTACTGACTGTTTATGTAAGTTAAACGATTTTTGGCCACTTGAATTGTACCTGTTCGACTCAAGTAATATTACTCTAATCCGCATTAAGTGTTCTGGATCAATCATAAATTCTTGTGATTCATGCTGGTCTGATTAATAGTGACTTATGACCTAATTCAGTAGTATATCGGTACGAATTGCTACAATTTCCTTCATCAAATTAAGGAAAAATAAACAACGAAGTAACTATCAATAATAGTAAATTGAAAGGAAGGAAGGAAAAATATAAAAACCGAGTTACAATAAAGTATGAGGTATGTATAATTGAGTTTTATTCATACGCATGTTGCTTTCTAATTTCGAGCATAGGGTGTATATTTTGAATCCTTTACTTTTCATTACGTTTGGCATATAGAAAAATCATTGTATACTATGTTCTTTCATTTCAGAGCAGACAGTCACTTGCATAATGACTATTCCTGATGAAGTATTTGATCTTGTCTCAAAGGTTTCGAATGGAAATGGAAATATGGAGGATTATGAACGCATTTGTTTGATTTTATCTAATCTGACAGCTACAGAACTGAGTTCTGTTTTTCAAAAATGTGATATTTTAAAAGCATTAATGTCAATTGATTTACATGACAAGTTTGTTTAGTCTACTATGCAATAATCGTTGTTTTGCTTTCAGACAGTCTGCTCAAATTGCAATTAAATTAGCTTCCATTGTATTCTCCCTCATACCTTTATTTGGTTTTGTTCAATCTCACCAAGAAGAATTGCTTTTAATACTTGAATCGACGAAACTCGATTTGATTGAATTCATTTTGAAAAGGGTAATCGCATCCTTATATTTCAGTCATGCATGAAGCTAAGAGATGGTTTAGTTGAACCTAGTTGTTCAGTATACAATATACCGGAACGCATTTTAATGTCAATAGCTAGATTAGTTCTTCATGACAAACTGTCTTTATCTATGGAAGCCCAAAATTTCCTGATAACTTTGGGTAACATAAAATGAAACATTCTAATCGTATTCTTTAGCTACGAAATGTCCACTTGGTTTAAAAAGCGTTTTAGGGCCCAATGTAGTCGGTACATTAAATCCTCCGTGTTCTAAATCTGAGCATTTAATAAGAGTTTCTGAAGTAAGTTGTCAAAAACGCTTTATTTCGTGAATTAAGTTTGCCGTACAGCTAGTTTCCAAACAACCTGAAGTGTTCAAGGATGTTGAAAATTCTGGTTTGTTTCAACCTATTTTGGATGGTTTAAATTCAAGAGATCCTCTAGTCCGCTTGAACTGGCTAGAATTAGGGAAATTGTTAACTATTTCAGAGACGGGCTATCACTTTCTGAATAAACAAGATGTGTTCTCTAGATTATTGGACGATTTGTATTCTTCTGTTTCGGATCCATTAGGTGATTTGCTACTTCCAGGTAAGTTTGAATACATGGTTTATTTTAGAAGACCCAAGGACTTAGACAGTCTATATAATTTCCGTATAATCAACACAATTGTTAAAATGATTAATCGCTTCATCAGTGTTAAAATCAACGAATCTGCGACACAAAATCTTATCAGTTTACCTCTAGAGTTTTTGCAAGGGCGCAGAATTGTAACTTCAAGTGGTGTTTGACAGGGTTATCCACCATCATAATTTTTATTTCTTCATAAGCAATCCTTTGGGGATAACGCTTTATTCGTCTAACTTTCTACGGATTCATCCCTAATCAGAAGATTCACTTATCGGCTTAGAACACGTAAATTGGATAGTCGTGTTTGGTAAGGTTACTGATGAACTGTAGCGTTTTAATTGTCCTGAGCAATAATCCAAACATGTTCGGGATGCATTTCTCTTTCTCTTAGTTCAAAATATTGCTCCACGACTGGATTTTATCATCCCCTAGATTGATCATGGGGTATAAAATTGCCATTTATTATTATTTTGGAAGTTTTATCACTTCTGGTGAGTTGGTGTCTGACAAAATTTGGGCATAGATTCAGAAAGTTAGCTTGACCTTCAGCAAGATATGCCACTTGTGGCTCAGGCGGAATATCTGTCTCCCAACAAGTGGGTGAGTGTGCTATGCAGCAATTTGATCTGCTTTTCTGTAACCGTGAGGTGCAGTCTTTAAAAAATATCATCCATGCAATGTGAACCATATTTAAACTTCTACACAATATAATTCTTGTTTTATATCAGACGTAAATTTTCTATGCGAATCCCTATCACTGTCTTTTACAGAACCTATACTATGTATTATCGTTTTTAGTCGCATGCAATTTGTGATTATTCGTTTTTTGAAACTAATAATCTATCAATTTCACCTTTTTTAAAGGATACATTGGATTTTTCGGTAGTCTTGCTAACCGAGACCCTGATCATTGGTTAGGGTCAAAAAGCGATGGAAGGTTTAAGAATATATTATCAGATGCGGTAGATAATAATGCTATCAGTATTTCTATGGTGGCATTTGAATCTATTAGCTGTATAGCGACCACACCAACAGGTCGGATTACCTTAGATAAGTTATTTGGTGAGTATGATTAAAGTTGTTTTGTCTCATTTCATTCTTCAACGTTAACTGTTTGTTTCAATGTACAGTACTACTTGTTTACATGTCAGTTATAATAGTAGTCGCTTTATTCAATACTGTATCTTTCGTTACCGTGAGTAAAGTTTTTAATAAATACCCCTTTGTAGCACATATTTAAATTACAAACATTTTTAATAATTCGAAACAAATCCATTTGAAATATTTTCACTCTAATACATGAAGCGATAAATACAGGGTTAATGTTCCATTGAGAATACCATCACCCACTGGGGTTCCTTTTCAACTTGAATATTGCTTTCCACTCCTATCCATCACCACATATAACTATTTCTATTATTAGACAATCGTAAGTAACATTCATGATGGCTGATTTCGCACCAATCGTCCAAGTATCTAAACTTGAGAAATCAATGGACCATCTGGTTATTTGTTTCTAGGTTAATCTAGTCAAAACGTTTGAGCTAGAAACGTCATTTTCTTCAAAACAATTACTATCGTAGTTTTTGTCTGAGAAAAACTTAAAAACATTTTTACACCATATCGTACTTACCTGTGCTCGGTAGATAAGTTAAGTAATAATATGATTATCAGTATGTGAACCGTCACGGTTTTACTCTTGTGATTTGTTGCATGGTAAGAACCGTCGACCAAGAATCGAAGTTTTCTTTGGCAGACCTACACACGGGGCTAATTAAAAAGCCCCCAAATGCCCTGGTACGGCCGAGAGTGGGGAGAGTCCGCTCTCCCTCTCGAAATGCTCTCACATGGCCAGCGAATATATAGCCTCTGTCAGGGAAGTCCTACTCACTGCCTTCTCGTGCCGGGGCGTTGTTTACGAAATTGAGAGGACGAAAAGCGAATGTCCGGCGCTTTAACAGGGTTGGTGGACAAGGCGAGTCCACCTAGGGGAGTTGGAAAACCCTGATTCCAAACCAATGGTGCACATGGGCTCCAGTATCCTGAGGGAACAAATGGCGTACGAACCAACCGTTGGTCACCGGCTACCATGGGACTGCATCTCCTCACGATGCTCCACTGCCTTGTGGATCAGATCTTTCGGTCAAAGGCTCCGGTTGTGGTCCCCTAAGAAAACCACCTGCTTCAGTTCGGGTACCTGGGCAGTATCACAGCCCTCAAGCAAATCGAATGAGATTTGTATGGCGCATATGTATCTGGTGCTTCCTTGTACCAATATTTATGTGTTTAAATAATAATATAATAATAGTATGTGAACTAGGAGTAAGACAATAACTTATCTACTTGTCAACACAGTACATGTACTATACTCATTTGTTTATTTATCAAAACTTTAAGATTCGTTCAATTTTGATTTTAGCTAAAGGTGGCGCATTCGATAGTGTTTTGAACAAGCTTTTTGTATTTATTTCCAACTCACCAACTGAGATATGCACTAGAGCTGTCGAATGCTATAGTTTTCTTCTACGTCGACCTAATGAGATAGATTCAGAAGGCTTATTTGCCGATGCTATACTTTCTCTTAACTGGGCAATTATTTCCTGTCAAAAAAGCATTGATAAAACAGATTCCAATTCAGTCGAAGATAAAGAATTATTGATTGCTCCACTACTGAAACGCCTTTATTCTCTTGCAACCCAACCATTTTTTGAGGTGCGTGTAGCAGTATTCAAGGCTATCGATGCGATTGCAACACAAGTAAGTTTTGCAATTTATTGTTCACTTCATTTTTCTGTGTATTCATTTCTATGTATTGATTTAATTTGTTGTGATCATGTACGTGTTTTTCATTTAGTCATGAACCACCAAAGTAGGTTAAGTGAAGTTGGAATCTGTTGCTTACTGCCTCAGCCACTATATCACTACTCCACACCAGTCACTTGCGTCGTTGAATGAAATACTGAACTTTTAACCCTGAAGTTTAGAGTTTACGGAGAGTATGCAAGCCGACCACCTAATTCAGTCTATAACAAATACAAATGATAAAAACAGGATAGTAAATGTTCTTGTTGTAGCTATATTTCAGTACCCCTATATTTCGTATATCAATCGGCTGAGTAACCGTCATTATTATCACTTCCAACGGTGTACAGTTTCCAGAAGCCAAAACGAAGTAATCAGAACAGATTATTCTAAACGCAGTTCAAATTAAACGATCAAGAAGCACACAGTAAGGTAATTTAGTAAAAATAGTTTAACAAGCAAATATGTATGCGTATGTAAATGAGTCAACAAGTGTTTAGGCGGTTTAGACTAATACATAGGTTGTCACATTCAATCAATCATATATGGCAATTTATGCTAACATGATGATATAGTTCATGAATATTGTGTATCACCTGTCTCCATAATTAATTGACCCGATGGCTAGCTAACAAACTAGAACCAACCCATAAAATGTTGGCTGTATACAGTTTAAGGGATACGTTTTAGTTTGCAATAATTGAAAAATTAAATATATCAAATAAACTTATGGTTTCATATGAAGTATATTCATCGTTTTCCATTATCTCTTTTGAAAAAAATTGATATTATCAGCCAACGCTTACAACACATATCCATACCGCAAATACAACTTAGACAGCTACTATATCCATGCGCAGAAAATGTCCACTTCCAATTTCATGGTAATTTATACCGTCAAGAAGACGGTCTGGCTATGGGAATCCTTTCAGCACCAGTCGTAGCTGTTATATTCATTTTAAATATATAAGAACCAAAATTAATGTCCTCTATCAACGAGATTGGACTTTATGTAAAGTGTGTTGGTGATACTTTCGTGTTGTTCAACGGCATAAATCACGCAAGCCAAATACTTGAAACTTTGAACTAAGTCCATTCCAGCATCCAATTCACATTGGCACATAAGAGAATAAATGTTCCATACCCTAGATCTAAGTATCTCTCGGGGAAATGACGGGACTTGTCAAAGATAAATATATCGAATTTAGAGCGTGGAGTGGGCAATACTTTCATGGCTTTTGTTCTTCAAGTTATAAATACGGATACAAATTTAAGTTACTCATCTTGCACTGCTTTGTACACCTATCACCTTTTTCTTTGTGTGAATAGCCCTGGGGAGTTCGACAAATAACACGACAACCCGGATTTTTCGAATATTTGCTTAATCGTCAAACGGAACTCGGACTTCCAGATAAAATACAACTTATGCAAGCCAAATTAGATATTATGAACAATATGCTGAAAACATACAAAGTATGGAGTTGTAGTGAATATAAATCATTCCAGAATTTGGTTGACAGACAACAGTTAAAACTAATACAGCTTTATATAAAAGAAGGATTGTGGGGTGTTGTAAAATCTGAGGCTGCAGTGGCTCTTGAACCTGGTTAATTAATTGATAATGCCGAGAATGTAAAAGATATATGTAAACATCTTTTTCTTCTTTTTTGTTGGTTGGCTACTTAGTTGTTGTAATTTTTAACTTCTAGTGATATTATTCACACATCAATTCTTTAAATTTTTTACATAAAATGACTAGCTAGTAAGCGCTTCTTCAGGGTATTCGTTGACTGTAGATCAAACAATTGCTAAGCGTATTAGTTCAATAGAGATCTTAAGACAAGCTGGTATCAAAACCAATTTATGACACAAATCAATTGAACCTGTGCTGCACCCTAACCAGGGAGGGAGTCGTGTAAGACTAACAGAAAGCATTTCTGTACAGCTTTCTTTCATACCACGACAGCATGTCATACAATGACCACCTTCGCTTTCTTCAACCGGTCCCAACGTCAGCAAATAATGCACGACGTGGAATTCACTGGGACGACACTCGTAGGACATACCCAAGCCACCGAAGTTCATGTTTCAAAATGGTGACACCAATTAAATTATCGTCGTTGTGCCCTAAATGTACGTTGCCGAATCTCTGCATTAATTTCATGATGTTGCCACTGGATGTCAGCAATCATTCTAAGACAGTGATGATCAAACAAACACAGAGAGTCGTCTAATATCCTCACCTCGGGAAGACCAGGTTTCACGAGCATAGAGCAAAACTGCTCTCATCAACGCGTTGTAGATCCGACCTTTTACAGCCAGATTAACATCACGAAGGTGCCAATGATTGCCCAGGTTGGCATAAGTCTATCTGCTCATTAGCAACAGTGAGTGCAGGATCAGGGTCCTGCTAGTCTTGTGAAAGTACTTTGCACTTCGAAGGTGCAACGGGCATGTCATACCTGTAGACACTGATTGCATGACTTGGACACCATGGCACAGTAAAACAATAGCATCCACATACTCAAGGTCATGAAGTCTTTCTCCAGGAAACAGATTCACACCACCATCACGTATATCCATCAGAGCTGTTCTCATAACGTCATCGATGACAAAGTTGAAGAGGAATGATGAAATTAGGCAACCCTACCTAACCTCACTACTTGAATGAAACAGTGAAGAGAGGTGGTTTTATGCCTTCATTCTGTATGGGGCTTTCAAGATATTAATAAGCTTCTCAGACGTACTTTCCTTCAATACACAATCCCAGAGAACTGTCCTGATGTCAAGAAACACTACGATTGTTGGCTTGTGATAAGTATGACGGTGTTCTAACATTTGGCAAAGAGTGGAAATATAACCAATACATCATCGACTAGAAAGAAGACTAGCTTGCTCCTCGTAAGTTAATCTTTCTCGAGTTTTGGCCAATCTACGAAATATGACGGAAGCTGAATAGTTTAGACTCAATCGGAAGTAATCTTATCCCCCGATAAATGTTGTGCAAGTGAAATAAACCCTTTTTAATTATAGAGACAACTACCGACGCATTCCAGGATTCGGGAACACAACTTTCTAAACTTTTGCACACAGCTCAGACAGTCTCATGGTTAGGTCACCACTATCCTTAAAATGGGCTGAAGGTAAGTCTGGTGAATAAAGTAGAAAGTCGAACACGAACTGTCGTTAGGACGCGTATATTTCAAACATTAATTTGAGCAGGCTGGCTAAACATGTAAATATGGTTGTTGAATAGACGCAGATAAGAGATAGTTCAAATACGAATCACCTGTGTATGCTAAATAGACAACGCACAGATTACAGATAAGGGGGATAGACATGCACTCATACATGTATCATAACGTCCGTTAACAGTGAATAATTAACAAAAACGAACAACAAAGTTATATATAGTAGATCACGAAATACGTAGTCAGCTTAATATGACTAGTCTTTCAAAAAGTTAGGACAAATTCACAAAGTTTCTAGACAAGTCACTAAATAATCGTCTCATTAATTAAATGGAAAAATCGCAGACAATGCATTTCTAGTTCCTTTATAGGCGAATTATTTTCATTGACATTATCTCTCCCGCTTGTGTCAAAAAGATAGGATCACAAGGATTATTACTCCAACTAAAATGTCAGTTAGATACATGTTCAGTAGTGACTTAGTTGTCCTAACTACAGTCGTCTGGACAAGTTCATGAAATTTACTAATGTATTCACACTTAATAGGTTTGTCTCTTAGGTTCCAATTTTTAAATATAAAACTGAAGTACACACCTGACAAGCTTGATTGAGATTGACTCCACTTATTGACATCCATTAGCGGTATATATATTATCAGAATCTAGACTCTACTTGGACGGTTGACCTAGATTTCACTCTAAAAAACGGTAATCGATCGGCTGATACCTTTACATAATGGTGATTCTACGAAATTTTTGCGAATTCACTTGTCTATTGTTGTATGTGTTTATGGTGATCATACACTGACAACTACAAATGAAAAATAAATCATATATTGGAAAAATATATATTTACAACTTATTTCCAATCTGATAATATTTAATCTTCAGCAACTTTTCTCTTTTTATTGTCATTTTTATTATCTGGTTGATGTTTTCGCTTGAGAACCCTCACTTTTTGACTGTTCTTTGGTGAAGGCACTGTTTTAATCGTTGGTTTAGATTTATTAACATTATTCTTAAGAGATTTCTTTTTTGCGTTGACTTCATTTCGTTTTGGTCCAGTTGTTTTATTGGTCGGTTCCTTTTTCATTAAGGCTTTTTCTTTACGCTTCTGTTGACGTTGTTTCTTGCGTTCCATTTTAAGACGCAATCTTTCTTGTCGACTTTCAGATTCATTAAACACGCTTTAATAAAGAGCCAGAAAAGAAAAATGATGGATGTCGCATACATCGGGATTGAGAATAAAGCAAAAATAAGAACTGCGAAAAATGAAACTCAGCATTGTTGATGTTACGTCCTCTGCTTAGTTTCGGTAGAATACGATACACAACCAACGGCACTCGAACGTGTACAACACAAGATTATAAGATAGAAGCAAGGGGTGGTCATTGGATAAGAATCAAAAATGCCTGACAAGCATGAGTATTTATAGTTATTAGTATTGGCTATGACATTGTAATTCAGCCAATCCCCAAGAAGGCAAGTTATGCTGTCGTCCAATTGTAACACATCACGTTGATATTCTAGAAGGCCCTACCAGGTTCTGATTGAATGAAATCTCTTCAACTTCTTTAAAGCCTTTGCAGGCTTCGTCTTGTTTGTTGAGGCCGCTCCGACAGTTGATACAGTCAAACGCCGCGGTAAAAATAAGATGAATAAATGCCGATACAATCAAAATGATTTGCTAGCTAAACGGCAGACTTAACAGTGACGTATGTAAATCAGGAGTCTTAGGCAGGTGTTTTTTTCTGAAATAAGCTACAATCTACAGATTACATAAAATTGGTTAGATTGAGAAAGTGGATGAAGTAAGTTTTAATGTAGACAGCCTAGTAGTTGTCAACCAATATTTAAAATTTATTTAATAAAATCGCAAATGACTAATTTATATGAAATCATAATAATAGGTGTGAACTTTTTCGACTCACCCCGATTTGCGATTGTTCTCTCTCAACAAGTTTAAAAAGCGTCGTGCTGCAGATCTGATAGGCTTTTGTGTTGATGGAAATTTCCCTAGAAGTTTAACAATGTCATCTTGAAGAAACTAAATAAGAAAAAGCAAACAAACGGTTTTTTTCAATATACAACTTTCCTGTTTTCACTTTATTAAATGTATAATCATGACTGATAACCAAAGGAGTTGCTCAAGAGAATGATATCACCTAATTGTATATCTTTAAACCGCCGTGCCCAGAGAACGCTATTTCAAAAAAATCTATAGCAGTTATAGGCAAATGGAAGCGGACTACATCAGAACATTTTTTTTAAAAACGAAGCAAAACTCACGGAATCACAGCTATATTTTAATAATGTAATAGGTTAACTGTCGAGAGACAATGGAGATAAGATATTCTTTATTAAAGTAGGTTATAGTAAGAAAATCAAACGGACGTACGGGATGCTCACTTGCGCAAGCTACACGTCTTAAATTGTCGATACATAGATTATGCTTTTATGAATACTTAATTCAGCTGTATAATTAAAACAAATTTAGATAGACGAGTCTAAATGGCCATCGAGGATGGAAACAAACGTCAGTCGAGCCGTATAAAAGTTTTCTCAGTTCTCTTGATGTCATATTGCATTGGTGTTGTTGCTTGTCAAATTTCTCGTACCTCATTTTTCAAAATTTGGCTATATTAAGAATCACTACAACAAATATAAACCTTTGCAGCGTAACTATGAATATTATAATCAACGATAAGAATTCAGTTATTGAATATTTTGAGTTTTAGCTAAGTGGTTCGAATCCCAGTTGATTCGAGCAAGTGGTTGGTATTAATAGTTTTAAACAAACATTTAATTAACATCCATAATAAGTCTGAAAAGTCAAAAAATTAGCCGAAACGTTCGTGGTTTCACTATAACTAAAATTCCCACTTAGAAAAATATTGATAGGACGAAGAAACATTTCTTTTCAGTCAGTTTTTCATTATGTCTCTACACTGACGCTAATGTACGTTTTACAGTGAAAATAAAATTGGTAACGGTCAAGTAGTTGTAGGTTAGACAACAAGGTAAATTCAAGAGTTTATGAAAATAATCATCAACGAATGAAGAAGTAATTAAAAGATACGATGGATGAAGTAAGTTATATTCGAATGCATTAATTAGTAAAGTATTTGGAAATATACAGTTATGGGATTGACATATTACATGTGTAGTGAGAGGACTGACCGGATTCTGATATGAAGTTGCGTGACGGTAGAGATTGCGATGTTGCGGCTGTTCAAGAGAATGAAACAAAAGGAAACTTGAATAGGACATTAGTGAATTATTTGTAACCCAGTCAAGTATTCGTTCTGTTGATGGCCGAGGTAGAGAGATGTACGAATTGCTTCTAGTTTGTATGCATAAACCATACAGAAAATTCAGTGGGATATAATGGAATACTCGGGAGGTTATATTTATTAAGATCATGAACCGGTCAATGTTAGAACACCGCCGTTTCATCCTAGTATGGAACCCCTCAACAACGCGCATCCACCACTCCACACGCAGGACTCGGCCTTCCAGGTTCTCCGTGGTCTGACGTTGGTCGGTTCATGATGTCAATAAGAACTCAAAATTCTCTATAATCATATGTTGATGGTCATATTTATGTCTATTTGACATCCTCGATCAGCTAAACAGAGATCTGAATCAACTTTAATTGCACTTTGTCCGACCAAGCAAGTGTTTGGAAATTCGAAAACGAAACTGCCCAATGTCTAACCATTGCATTTTAGTGACTAGTGTCATTTTTAAGTTACGATCATTATCAAAGAAAATGAACTAGGAATAGAGCTTGAAAACAGTAGATGTTTAATTAACTGATAATAACTATGTAACTCCACTACTAAGTACGCTTTTTGCACTAGATTTGGAGTCACACTTTCGGTGTGAACGGTAGTAATACCATCAATTTAGAGGTATAAATGAGGAATTCGCCTTTGGTACAAACAGGTACACATACCCTCACAGTGTGTATAATAATGGATGCTAAGAATAGGTAGCAAATAGCACTAAGTATCAAGTTATAGGAGCAAATGCATGAATAGAGTGCACGTAAAAATCCCTTAATGATAACAATAATAAACTATATCAGCTTACCGCAGACGAAGCACTTTCATCAAGTTTTACAATACACACAAGTAGTTCGAACAAGGCTAACGATAACTTGAGACGGTTGTACCAGACGTTGTGATTTACTGAACTTTGGCTAGCTTTCTCGGTTATTTGCAACAATTCAGCTAATTTGACAATAAGTTTCCTTGACATTTTCTTAACCTTTAACTCATTTTTGGTTGACTTGAACATATGAGTAACTATTTGGAACAAACTAACGAGATTACAACTTTCGAAACCATTAATTTCAACTTCGCGAATATCATTTAATCTATCGATTATTTTTTCGCATGCTTTCACAGTAGTTTCGACAAGCAATTTTGAGGCCTTGTGTGCAAATGTCTAGTGGATTTTGAAATAAAATTGTACATTAAATGAACAAGAAAAATCCAGTGAAATCGTACAGTACATAAAAAAGTATGAGTGAACATTCTTAAAATAAGCAAATTTATGTTGATGACGATCAGAACAACTTCATCTGACTGTGCAGATAATATTAAAGTCTATTATTTCTACTGATAGGAATTCTACGGCTCTTTGTTAATGCAAGTGATCTAAGGAATGTACGGGTTTTGAGAAAATACAATTTAAGATGATGTATCCTAACCAAGTGACTTTACTCACTTAAAAGCAGCATAAAACATGCAGTTGATTTACAACTCAGTGTAATAACAACTAATTTCACATCAACTACGTCTTCTCATTGCTCTATTGAAATTTACAGAAACTAATTGCTTTAATTTCTTTGTGTTATATTTGAGGTTATTTACGTGACTCCAAACAAACCTGTTCGACCAAATAATTCAGAATAGGATATGAATGCCGAACTCTATTAAAATTACTTACAAATCCGGAAAGAAGATCGTACAAATAATGAAGTTGACCATTTTAATGCAATTCAGAGACATCCATGTCCACCTAATATGCCGATTTAAGGCCGGTAAGGTAGTGATCAGCTCGTACAATAAAGTGATGTCTTACCAACCAAACCATTATTACGTTGATCTGGTGTACTTCATACGACGAGTTCATTTCATAAACAAGAGATTTCAAAGTTACTTCCAATATACTTTATCAGTGTGTTGAAATTACCACTAGACAATAACTAAGTCTGAACATTTGACCTTTCAAAAAATCATTGACAAGTTTAGATTTTAAAAAAATCACATAATCCCAAGTGAATTGCAATCGGTAAGTGCTCTTAGAGAGACTACATAGACATCGTCATGAGTCTACATTTTTCTGGCATTCTGTAGAACCATTCAGTCAAACAAGGTATCGGCAACAATAAAACTGGTATTTAGTAAAGTAGGTGTGCAGCCTTGAAACGTAAGGTTGCTCTCACACAAAAGGGCTAAGTATCGAATATCCAAACCCGCAGAGTGAGTTCCAATGATTTATCAAGTGCATATCGAAACTTGGATATTTTATGCATATATATATATATATATATATATATATATATATATATATATATTACTCGAGATGCCAGAGTGGTTTTCCAGCAGATCTGATTTAATGTTCGTATATTAAAAGACATAACATTAAAGCGGAAATATGGATTCAGCATCGTAGTTCCGCAATATGAAGTTTCAGATCAATGCCCAAGACTGTGACTCGTGTTTAGACTTTCGGCTAAAATAAGTGGAAGGATTTCTTTTTGATCAGCCTAATGAGATTTGTACCGTTAACCAAGTGCTCATCAAATAAGTGTTTCTCATAAATTAATAATAAGCCAGTTATATCGCTGGACTGTTATTTCTTTTCTAGATATACTTCCTTGCAAACTGCTTTGGTTTCCCAATATATATTACCTGTATAAAGTGCATAGAAACATATGAATATGAATGTCCATTATTTATCTAAACAGATAGTAAGTCAATATAGGGTTTACCAATGCAAGTTCTCTTGGCTATTTTGATTTGCCCACAACCAAAGGATAACAAGTACACTTATTGGCTTAGTCTCCATAATACAAAATGAAATTATCAACAATAAATGAAGGCTCCTCTTCAATATGAACTCACTTGGCAGTGACTTAGAAGATTAGGGATTAGCGTAGATTGATGGTTAGTATTACTTAAAACCTCATGAAGTTGTTCTAATAAATAATCAGACAATGGTGATTCCAAATCCGGAAATTCTGTTTTTAACGGTTTGCTACTTCGATACTGTACAGAAATAATACAAAAACAAATTTTTGAGAGATATTTGTAAATTACATAGTAAATAGTTGACGTAAAAATGGGCTATTTCCTAAAAGCGATTGTAGAAACTTACAATAAATTCTATAATGATGGATAATAATTCTGTAAACAATTGAGTACTATCCGCTGAAAAAAAAAGGAAAAGAGAAGAATAAATGGTTAGAAAATTAGCTCTTTACTTCTTTTATTTAATACAGACAAAATTGGATGCACTTGAGCACCAAAAACAATATTTACCTTACAAAAATATCAATCATCACGTTTTTGGCTTGCACATTATTAAAATGCTGGAGAGTACTGCTTACGTAAAATATGATTCGGAATAAGATAAATATATTTTGATGGTTTATGTATGATTTATTCATTTAGTTAATAAAGTTGGACTATCTGAACTGATTTAGCTTATAAGCTCCGTTCTTTCTGTACAACATACAGATATTTCCTTATTAAATGAAAATATATAATATACGTTTTAGTATGGTTAGTCACTCCCATATATTTACAAATATTAGGCATAAATAAGATACAGAAACGAAGTATTAACTGATTAATAGATTATGTCACGAAAACACTACCCGCACCTGGGAAACTGGATAATTTGTAGCTAACTAAACGAATAATTGCAGAAGTTCTAGTTACTTTTTGGGGATACATCGAAAAAATACCTACTCGTTTTAGCCGCATCTATAAGAGAATGTACAGTTTTCTTCAAGTAAACATGTTGATCAAGGTTCTTGAGAGATTCTATAAATTCGGATTGAGTTTTTTGCGACCTGAAACGCAACTTTCTCGCAACAAGTATTATGCTTGACAGTGGAGGTATATCACCATATTTAGCAACAAAACTTGTTTTTCTCTTTTTTTTCTGGTTGATTTTTCTATTTGAGCTTAAATCGTTTCGTGATTTTGCTGTTTCATATTCAATGGATCCTTTGCCAATATCAAGCACAAGATCAAGAGCGGGCTGTAAAATAAAAACAAAAAGGTTCTAGTTTTTACCATAAGAAATTGTTGCACAATGAAGCTACATTTATAGTGACCAGAGAAAAACACATGATTAAAGGACAAGAATTTTTCTTGAGGTAAAATATAATGCACGTAAAAGCTAGGGGTGGCTAAACCAAAACGTGGCATTGGTTCATGAAGCCATTGACAGTTGGTCTGATTCATGTTAATAGATTCAGACTACCTGGTTAGGGTCTGCGTAGTAACCGCGACTAATGATTCGAAACTTTGGGTAACATGGCTCAGATCCATCTACTCTGTATCTTCCGTTCTTGAATTTGAATGTCCTTCCATCCATGCCTCTCCACTCTGTCTTTCCAAACCATATTCTCAGGGTTTAGTCTTTCTTTTTATTACTTTTTACTACATTATTTCGATCTCTGGTTATTTTCATCTTATCGTGCTAAGCACGTATAGTGGATTGGGCCGACGTATATTTACTTTGATGATGTCTGTCTGTCTATCTATAAACGCAGAGAAAAGAAATATTCGCTTTCAATGTTCCCAAAACAATTAAGGTTTGATCACTGGTTTTTCCTGAAACATTACGTTTGAATAAGTCAACAAAGCAATGAAGAATTTAGCAAAATAAAGTGTTTAGAACAATAACAATTTATTCATTAAGACCTACTAAGACAAGTTTGGATTCGGAACTATACTGTAGAATACATTCAATCAAATCGAAACATCTAAAATACACAAAAGGATATAATTATCAATAAGTCATTTTAAGTACACATAAAAGATAAACAATTTACGAAAAAAAATATCTAGTAACAACTGAAGCAAGCATCTAATCCGTTTGACACTGGTTTTCCAGTGCAGCTCATTTAACACGCTGATTTATATAATTAAATTTAAATAACATGTTTGGTGTGAGGACTAGTGATATTATTCAGCTGTTAGTACTTGATATGACGAGACAAGAATTAAACCTAGTTAGGCGTTAATTCCAGTGGAGAGTGGATGAATTATAGTTCCTGCAACCTGCAATTGTTTGTTCACTTAATACATTTGATCATGTATATTCTTGTGCTTAGGTTTTTGTATATAACTGTGTTTTGTTAAGAAACTATTCTACTGATCAGACATCTCTTTTTCTAACGTCATTTTAATTCGGTGCTTACGTCGATACTTCGGTCTCTTAAATATCAAACACCTGGCCATATTGCATCACTGCATATTACCGAGCGACTAGAACACTTCATCTATTAGTTTTACAATCCCTTAACACCTTTTCACTACAAATGAAAAAGACTGATTCAAAACAGCATCAGAGTAGATGAAGTGGGAATCAACCCTGTTATCTAATGGCTGGAAATTGAGCTACTTCAGTAAAAATTCCTCTATTTAACACTGCCGAGTTTAATGTGAAAAATGTAATTATCAAATAAATAACTGGTGATTTGCAAGTAAAAAGAAATAATCATTTGATTACTTCATTTTCAATTCACCAACTGAACGAGCTTGATCAGCAACTATTCGCTGGGGTTTACGCATATGGATACGGAATGCAGCTGCCAAAGCTTCATCACGTTCAAACATCTCAGCATCTGTGAAGTCCCGGCAATTGTTATCGTTATTTTCACTATCTAATGCAGCTGGACCAAGTGCATCACGTACACTATTTTTAATTTGATTAAGTTCATCTTCATCGATATCAATCTCTTCTTCAACTCCATCAGAGTCTGAATCATCTGAGGCTAAAATATTGACAATGTTACTATCAATAAGAAATATAAACTACGCAAACGTGATAATCATTTATAAAAAGAATAACTTTATGACATAGAAAGGAAATGGTTTTTTCTTTAAATTTCAGAAATCTTAGTTTGTTCTTTTAGAGCTTAGATACACGACTATTTTAATTCTGTTTACTTCTTATTATACTCAGGTTTATTTTAAATTATTTTTACTGCAACCAACATCTAATGCCCACATGTAAGAAGTATAACGTAAACCATAGTCATTTTAAATAGCGAATTTCTTCAAAAAATAATCATCTGTTTTATGCAAAATTAAATAGTAGCTTTGTACAATCTGAAAATCATATATTAAATTCATCATTTACAACATATCTTCCTTCAGTTGTCTCTTATATACTTCATTCTTCCGATCCTGTTTTCATTTCAACTGCTCTTCGCTTTGCTTCCTCGTCTTCTTAATTAACTCTTCTGCTGACAAGTATTCTGCTTCCAATTCCTGCCACATACTGTCTGTCCGCATAAGTAGTGCACACCACACTGTAAGCTTGTAAAGGCCAAATATCGTCATCGTAAAATATATGTAACCCTCTCATGATGTAGACTGTCAATAGTCACAAACAGGTCAGTGGTGAGTTGGATACCGGTACTATGATAAATGTTCGTGTATATTTCATGGACCACCTGATGTGTTACTGAAATATAATTTCTCATACTAAGTTCTTCCTGTAAGCTATCGCGGACGGATCTATTTTAAGTGATGCCTTAGTTAACACATTTACACAGTATGAGTTTACCGGGAGTGTTCAATATAGATTTACATAATAATACAGTTAGCTGTTCAGTGTTGCTAGTTTCAAGATTTGTATTTGACATCAGCAAGCATTAAAGAATAAAACCAAGTATTTTTAGAAGGATTTACCATACAAGGTACGTAAAACTAGCTGATTTCCAATATAAAAGTGATTTATATGATTTTTTTAAGAATCAAAACTTGGTACTAAAGTATGTTGCGCAGTTTATATCAAAAAAATTCAAAAACAAGTCCTCCTATAACCACGAATAGTTTCTCCTCAAAATTAAGACTCCTTATACAATCAAGTTGTTTCTTTCAATGTGAAGTGGAAATTGCAAGCTTTATTAGTGCTAGTGAAACAATTGGTTCCAAATCGGGGACTGGCCTTAAATAAATATTGAAGAACAGCACTTAGTCTTCAAAACAAATAAGGCAATCTTATGCACAATAAATCATATAAGTACGGTTACCTACCCATGATACCTTTAATGAAATCACAATAACTCACTAAGTTGCACCACATAAGCCCATAGACGAAAACGTCAGATAAATAAACCCAAAATAGTAATGACTACTAACCGAATCCCTGGATAACTCAAGTGTGTTTGATTTTACAACTGTCATGAATAACTTGGCTAAATAGACTTTCATGTAATGTTGGAAACAAAAGGTCATAAAAAGAAATATGTTGGACCAAAATTCAAAAGATCAATCATGTAAAACTAACTATCTTGTGAGTTTCCCTCTTGATTAGCATTCTTTTCTTCATCTTCAACTGGGGCGGTTTCGTCTTCAAAATCATCAATTGGGATAGACAACTCCTTAGGCTGTACTAATTTCGTCGAATTGAACAACGAAAAATGAACTAAATCTTCCGTCTCTGAGTCGTCAACTTCGTCCTCATCATGCTTTGCACGGCCAGTTTGTTTTGTTGACCGTGTTTTGAGTATATCACCAATTAGTTTTAGGCACGAAGGATATTCTTCACCTGAATTAATGGTACTTATAAATGCCTTTCCCAAAATCATTTTCTTAAATGTTAGACGGGTGACAGAGCGTAACATGTGGACGGGAAATGAAAGAGCACTTAGAATCACATCAGTAAGCACTTCCGACCAATGGGGACCTTCAAATACGGTATTCGCTAAACGCCTTTTTCTGCATTCAATCAAGTCGTTCAAGATTTCAAACGTGTCTACAAACAAAAGAGGAAATAAAGGTATGAAAACAAATAAAAGAATCCCATCATACCTTAAATTTAATGTGTAACAGTTACGGGAAAGTGACGGCTAACAGAACCTCTCAAAAATCCTGTTTTTACAAATTATACGTAGACCCCACTTTGAAACAAATATATTTTATTAGGTTCATTTGTTCACAGAATACAACCCTCAAAGTGCAGTTTAACAATACGATCCAAGCCTTCACAGTGTATTAAAAGTACGTTCGTTTTATGATACGTGTCTACGTCTTCGAGAAATACTCCTAGAATTAATTTGGTATTGCTTGTTTGAATCTTCCCATTGGTGTTTAGGACTGCAATTGATCAGTCTCTTATTGACGTATGTGCATCATGTACGGATTGCCTCGATATTGCCTTAATTTACAGGGCTATCAGGACTCCGTAGCTAAGTGGACAACGCGACGGCGTTTGAAGCGAACGGTAGACATCAACTCTGGGATGCAGGTATATCCAGCTGACGAGTCCCAAATACGACGAAACGCGCGTCCTGGATTCCACTGCTAGCTACCAACCATCTTCATTTCTAGAATATTTTGAAAGTATGCACTTTAACCGAATCTATCTTAATGGGATACATCTAATTAAAATTCAGAAGTTGATAATTGATGATTTCTGATGTAGAATTCATTAGGATCATTATGTATCATTATAATGAAAAGAAAATTCTGAATACAAGGCTTATATGGCCATACTATTTGTGCAGAATGAGAATCGTAGTTTCTATAAATTAATTTGATCGTGTAGATTTATGAGACTGGTGTAGAATTAGGTTTATCCCTTCAAACAGGGCATGAGGAAAAAAAATGATTGAATATAAGGTACGTTAAAAAAGCATCGCTCTAAAAGATCAGTAGACGCACAAAGGAGAGAATCCTATTCTATATCAAAACCAAATTTACTAATTACAGTCAAAGATTAGGATGTAAAATCACTGATATTTGAATAGCGAAACTGAAAACTTCGTCCCTCTAAAAGACAAGTTAAATAATAATTAATTTACAGTTTATGTGATTTTATAAATTTTCAATGCAAGAATAAGCTTTGTTCAGTTCTTATTGGAGATATGCAATACCCAAATACAACTAAGAGAAAAGAAATCAATATCGATTAAGATGAGCTCTCGTCAAATTAAGTTATTCAGTGTGAACTATGGCTATGAACTTTCAATTCATCTTTACCTTGATTTGTATTTAGTGAAGAATACCCAGTTCAAAAATTCTAACCATTCTAATTGACGTATGATCGATTAACATGCTTGAATTTCCAATGATTGGTATACTAGTGTCATCATCAAAAAGCTTTCATTACTACACTGGTCTATTTCCTCTAGTTAGGTGAGGGGGGAGAAGAGAACACAGGTAGTTCTGTTCACTTACTGAAGTCAGAGTAGCGATACTTCAGCATGGCGTATAGACGTATCAGTTCTCACCAAACGTCTTATGATCTACTAGCTAATTCAGTCATCACAACTGCACGTTTCTCCTTAATGGTTAACTGTTCCATATACACGTACGTCAACATTAAAATACCGAATTTCGCGAGTGTATCTCACCTTCGATCGGCATGGAGAGAGAAAAAACAGAAAAAGCTCCGCACGTTAACAGTATGTACTGGTCCAACTGATCCTCAGAATCTGCTTTTTGGAGGATTTTAAGGCATCTTTTCAACGAATCCAGACAAAGACCAATATCTGTGTTAAGAGAACGTGTGGACATAGCCCTGGTACATTGTGGAACGGCATTTTGAAGTAGGGATACACAATGTCTAATTATGTCCATATTTGTAATGTTCTTGATAGTCTCCTGGCCAGAGTGTTTATTGATCCTAGCTGCTTGCAATATCATACAATCTAATATCCCAAATAAAACACCCCAGCAAAATTTGGCAACATTTGTTGAGATAGATGTCCTCAAAGCGGTGTTATCAACCTTCAATGAATAAGTCAAACCAATAGTTAGTAGGAACTCCAGAATCTGACTGAGCAATTCAGTTCCTTCCATGTATCTGAATTTTAGGATTGTGTTTACAACTATCTGCAAGTGCTTGATTACAAAGCATCGAATAGCATCATGATCTAAGTCAAGTGATTGGATTTGATTTGAATTATTTAAAACACGTATGTTGCGTATATTCTTGTGTGAATACTGAACCTCAGTATTGATAAAAGCACTCGTTAACTGTTTAACGTACAATTGAAGAGTATCTAACGATAGTGACGATGGCGCAGAATCAAAAATAATCTGCAAATTGGAAAAAATCATTATGTCAAGCAAAAATATACAATTTTGTAATCCAACAACCTAAACAATGAGTTTTCAGAGTCGGTATCTACAGTAAAATCATGTATACCATTTCCTTATAGAACATACTTGGAGAAAACCAAATCACATAGGAAATGGTACATTATTTACTACACTAAATAAATCCTGGCCGAAATTACGGAACACTAAACTTTTTCCAATTTCTTTGAGTCCAATATTAATATATAGTCTATTGGCTAAGGGAACGAGTCGCTTAGTAACTACCCGTTGAGAGAAGACTTTTGGGATAAGGTTAAAGGCATTATGATCTATTAACGATACACGAATTGACCAAATTGCTTACACACTATAAGATTTTGTATTTTATTTACAGGTGATAAGTAGCTTCTTGGATCTTGTAAACATTTATAAAAAGATAAATTTTGAGAGCGCTTTTTATAAATGTAGCTTATTAATAAAAAAGGTTGAAGTAGGCAGTTTATTGGGTCAGAATACACATATCAACTTTCCCGCTCGATTCATAACTTTAATAATTCACGAAATCAACTCGTCTTAAAGTCTGTGTCATTGTATCTCCCTGTTTGTGGCAGGTTATAGATAAAAACACCCAAATACTAGATTTTATTCAAAGGGACAAACTATAAATAGACACCTTACATGATGCATAGTTCATTTACTAGTTACATTTTATGCAAACATTTTAGCTCATCATCAGTCATTTCATTTTATGAATCACTATAACAACTACTGTTTACATTGCTTTATGAGAGCTAGCCACTAGTACTTCTCCATTTCTGTAGCTTGAAAATCAGCTAGTTGGACGAAGACCTTTACTTTGAGTTCAATATTCTCGATGTGTATAATGAGTTGTAAAATGACTCAAAGTCTTTGAAGTAAAGTGCCTACAAGTAAAAGTAGTAGACACGTATTAACGGATCTTAGTGATAGCAAGTTGTACAAAATGCGACAATACATTCATGTTGATATTAAATATAAACCATTCGTTTAGTTATCTTTTTGAAAGATTCATGACTCAGAAATATAGAGAAACTGTTAGTGCGTTCTTGAAGTTGTTTACAGCAACTAAAAAGTCCTATCTGATCAATAACCATAAAGTATAATATAAATGCTACTATATAAACATACGGATAATGCAAAACTTGCTAACCTGACATGGCTTAGGGGAGCTAGAGTCGCAAAAGAAGTCAAATAGTGGGTAGTTTAAAGCAATTGATTTCAACAGACAGTCTGGAGACATAGAAACCGTAGATTTCTGGAGATGTTCGCCAACATTCGTGGAGCCAATAATCTTATCCATCATCACTCTTAGTAAATGGGAGACTTGAGGGAAATAACCGTACTTGCAATCTGATAATTGTTTGCTGAAGCCCTCAAAAACATCACTAGATAAGACGAAATCAAACTTTTCCTTCCCATTACAAATAATGTGAACGACAATTTGCAAAAATCGAAAAGTATCTTTGACTTTTTTGGCTTTAGAACATAAGGTCGCTGTAAGAAAAAAGGATAATTAGGGGTTAGCAAATCAATAAAATGACATCCCAATATTATTCGCTAAAAGATCGCTCCCATCAGCTTTTAAAGTACTACAAATTAATCGAACAAATTACAGCACCGTAAAGACGCCAGTCGAAAATTTGCAATCCAAACAAAATGAGACACAGTTGCCCAACTGCCGATTGGAAATAACCAATACTTCATTATAAGCAACTAATGGCGGTGATTGTCACCATGATCATTTGATCATAATCTTGTTTTTAAGAAGATCTACAAAAATAGTTCGATACCAGACATTCATAGACAGCCTATCTCATGTAGCCCTTATAGTTTTGTAATAGATTATCAAGAATTTTGAAAATACCGACTCAAGCCCAAGTTACCACAGAAACACAATTCCTTTTTCCAAGTATTCAAAGTAAAAAACTTCCGTGATATGAACGACAAATGACTGTGTTAACGATAACTGACGCTCTTCTGTCTGGGTTTGTCTTGTTTGTTTATATATGTGACCAGGAGAAACAGATGATTGAAGCACTTTGTAGTATAGGACTCTATTTTGACTATCATTAATTATTTTTTTAGTTTTCATCATGATAGCAATTACTATAAAAAGTCTTTGCAGTTTAAGGAATTTTTTCAGACTTAAGCCAACGTATGGAGTTTACAAAGTAAAATCTCTGACCTAGTGAAATGAAGATTTCATTAGCATGTTGAAACTTTCAAGACCCGGAGTTAGTAACAAATTGAACAGTGTTTCGAAAACCAAAAATGTGGTATACAAATAACATACTCATCTCACGTTTTAGAGATTCGAATGCAAGTTTTAAATGGTAAGTTGACTGATAAACAACCTATCTTGGTGACGATTTACAATCGGATCCTCTGATGTTTGATAATCCAACGGTAGGTTACTACTGATTTACGAATGCAAACATAGAAGCTGATTAAATAATAAGAAATATGCTCAGCTAAATTTAAGTTAGAAGTCACGAAGTCATTGAGATTAGATTGTTAACAAAATTACGAAAGCCCTGAGTATATGTTGGCAGTTGAGATGGATCACTGATATTTAGAAAGCAAAACACTACAACACAGTCCAGAGACTCAAACGATACGGTAAATGTAAAAATGAAGTAAACTGGGTTCATTCTAATGGTTTAAACGACAACTTGGACAACCCACTACATCAACTAAGTTGGATTTTATGGCAGTGTCCTACAGAAATAAAAGTAATTGGCCGGTGTATTCAACTAAATCTCACCGCAAACATAACAGTCCTATATTTAAGTAGAAACTAACCAGTTTATACAGTTTTTAAAAACACTATGTTAACTAGGAAACCCGTTCCACCAACAATATATTTTCATAATACTCTGTATTCAAACATCGATGAAGATTCAACAGACTCATAGGTGTGGATTATGGGATGTCACCTTAGCCAGCTTATTCATATGCATAGGAAATCATTACGTCCAAATGCTCACCTTTGACAGAATCCCAAACGGTACTCAGGACGTTGCGCTTTAAAACTTCATCGATTAACCGCATCACGATGGCATCGTGAGAATGCTTGCTAGATAAAATTAACTTGAAAGGTTCTTACAAGAATTCCAAATAAAAGCTTCCTACGATACTGCTTCTCAGATATATTGAACGGCGGAATATCTAGCTTCTGAAGACGTTTCTGAAAGTGCAATCATATTTATGGATTTCGTACCTGAAAGCGATGCTGAAATGACAGAATGACCAGCAAGAGTTCACCAGTGATATCCGAGTTTGAAGACATTAGGTTTTGATAAGATTCCTTTAAAAAACAACTTAAGTTTGTGAATAAATGTTTCGGTGCCTAATAATTGTATATTAACGACTCAAACAGATTACTTGAAGACTCATTTCCGATATTGCTAAATATGCAGCAGCTCTATGATGAGTGGATTTCGCCAACAGGACAATATGTTGAAGCAATGCTTTAGCGAACCCGTCATCAATCTGTACTTAGTGGCAACAAACATAACGTACCTCCTTTATTCTACCAGATGCACAAAGCACTCTTGTGCATGCTAAGTACGCCAGTTTCACAGATGAACGTTCCTGGATTTCCTATTAAAGAAATACTTGCTACTTACATTTTGAGTGGACGGCTCTGAGGCAAAAATTTGAACACTCATGGATTCCGCTAGTTCTTTGGTTGAAGTTTCCGTTGGAAAATCTTTGAGGAAGCGTATAAGACATTGCTCATAGCTGGACCTTGTAGACTCCTCAAATGACTTCAGACCTTTAACAAGCCTTTGCCTTGTATACGTGAAGTAAGTGGTTTTCTCCTAGTCTATTTAATTTCATTGGATCAACCTACTTCATCCGTTTTACCACTTAGCAAAGTTACCAGCTTGTTAGAAGATTCTATTCTTTGTTTTTCATCTCGCGCTGATAATCCCCAGAACAGATCCAAAAAAGTACGGTCAGTCTGCATAACGTGATACCCTGAGTCGTGACCTTTAAAAACAAATTTGTCATCAATTCTAAAAGGTCGCCAGGAGTTTAAATGGTTCAAATGGTTGAGGACGGAATAGAAGAAGCTTTCGCTTAACGGGCTTCCGTGTCTGGTAGCAGTGGATCACCAATACCTCCAGGCAAAAACCTAGGTATATGAACGATAATAGAGAGAAAAAAAGAATTTGGTAAATCATAGTAATATGTTATCCTTAGTCCTTAAGAATAAGTCAAGTTTTCTCTTAAAGGACTCCTGGGAGGTCGCTTGGACTAGCTCAGTCGGCAGCGAATTCCAGCACTTGACAACTCTAACGGAGTAGAAGTTGTGTCTGCAGTCTGTTCTGCAATGTAGGGTCTCCAATTTCTGGGTGTTACCTCTCAGGTTAGTGTTGTGACTAAGCTTAAGAAGATGTTTAAGGGGATGACCAGAAGTGTTAAGTATACTGTAAGTCATAAAAAGATCACCTCCAAGACGCCTGTATACTAACGGGTAAAGGTTAAGCGATTGGAGGCGCTCTTCATAAGGTTTGAATTTGAGTCCCCGAACTGATTTCGTGGCTCGACGTTGGATACGTTCCAGAGTGTCCTTATCCTTTCGGAGGTAGGGAGGAAATACTATGTTTCCGTACTCTAAGTGGGGACGAATAAAGCTGTTGAAGATTATGTGGAAGGTTCTACCGTCAAACTGGCCAAAAATGCGCTTCAATGTTACCAGTGCAAGGTTTGCTTGAGAGGCGTTTTTGTCACAGTTCGCATACGATTTCAGGTCGTAGGGTACCAACACTCCTAAATCTTTTTCAACTTGGGAGACTTCTAGAGGGGAGTTATCTAAGTTATAACTATAGTCTGCAACATGTCTCAGATGGACTACCTTTCACTTTGAAGTGTTGAAGGTAAGTCCGTTGTCGTCTGCACAACTTTGAAGTCAGGTCAGATCCTCCTGAAGAACTAGCATATCATTATGACTACGTATCTCTCTCCAAAGTTTCACATCATCAGCAAAAACCAATAAGTTAGATGAAACTTGTTGAGGAAGATCGTTAATATAAATCAAGAAGAGAAGAGGTCCTAGTATTGAGCCCTGTGGGACCCCACTAGGACATTCCATAGCCTGAGAGAGAGTGAAGTTAACCCTGACCTTAAAGTGTCGGTTTTCTAAATATGAAGAGAGCCAATCAACCAAAGAAGGTTTTATACCCAATTGTCCAAGCTTCTTGATAAGACATACGTGGTTGACCCTATCAAAAGCTTTTGAGAAGTCCAGGTAGATGACGTCAACCTTCCCCTTGCGATCAAGGATGGTTGTCCATTTATCCACCGCAGTCAGCAGGTTGGTCATACAAGAATGACCTTTTCTGAAACCATGCTGTTGAGGTGAGAAGAACTTTGAGGATGATAAGTATTCTAGTATACCGTCGTATACTAGGGATTCCATAATTTTGGAAGGAATGGAGAGAAGGGCCACTGGTCGGTAGCTTGAGGGTTTACTGCGTCGACCTCCTTTGAAAATTGGTGTGATGTGGGCCAGCTTCCATATTTCTGGTAGTTTGCCTCTGCTTAGCGAGTGTGCAAACATCACGCTAAGTGGTGTCGCCAGGATTGAAGCTGCTTCGCTCAATACAGCGGAATGAACCATATCCGGACCAGGAGAAGTGTCTTTTCTTAGGTGCTGCAGTTTACGGAGCACCAGGTCAGCACTCAAGTCCACTTTGGAAAGTCCTGTACAGGTGCAGGTGAAGCTTTCATCAGTATGGTTGATGTGGGTCAGCTGGAATGTCCGGGAGTATTGTTCAGCCAAAAGTTTAGTGGCATCACCGTCGTTATTGGTCGGGCCATTAGGACCAAGCAGTTGGGAAACTCCAGTTTTGCCTTGTCGAAGAGAAGTTGCGTAACGGAATAAGGTCATCGGATTGGAGACAAATCTATCGATAAGCTTGGTCTGGAACTGAAGCCTGTTTTCTCTTATTGCTTTTGAATATAAGTTCCTTATATGTTTGTATTGCCTGTACGCGCCGTTGTTATCAGTTCGTTTGTATTCAGCCCAACAATGTCTTTTGCGGCTTAGCAAACGACGGGTGCGGTTCTTGATGATTGGGGGTTCGAAATTCATTGAGCATAAACTTGAACTGTTTATTACTTTCGATCTCTAACTTGATTGAGGGAGTTGATTTTTTATGAGAATGTGGTGTTTCTTAATCGATTTTTCATGAGTTGAAAAGAGAGTTCCTTGTAACAGAACAGCAGAACATCACCCTGGTGCGACTGAGATGAACTTAATATCATCGAATATTATTGTTAGTAAACTGTCAGAGTCTAACGATCCAGATCCTAAGGTTAGACATACCCATGACTTAGAGAGGCTCGGAGAATATATCCGTAGCATATCATCAGATGTTCAGGTCAAAAATTGGTTAGAATATGTAAAAGGGTCGATGACAGTGTTCTACCCCGACCATGTAGACTCCTTAAGGTAATCCTAGGGTCGGATAAACAACGTGATTTTCTGTTAAGTAGCGCTCAAAGTCACGACAACTCTGACATTCGAATTAGACCGGATATGTCCCTTGAAGATAGAATAAAAAGGAAGATGGCACTAGCTGAACTAGAAACCTGTCGACAAAACGGTGAGGAAAATCTCCGATTAGTGGGTTTTCGAACAGCCAGGTCTTGGAAGCGAATGCTACCAAGGCCTATGTGGATAGGTCGTTCTCCCTAAGAGTTTTATATGCCAGCGCCCGTAGTCTAAGACATTAATTCTACGAGCTAGGAGCATTAGTGGACAAATTAAGGCCACTCATGGTAGTTGTGACGGAAACTTGGTTAGTCCATGACTTCGATATCACCCCAGCATTATCCGGATACCATTGTTCAAGAAGTGACAAACATAGATGCAGGAAAGGAGGTGGCGTCCTTCTATACATAGCCAATAATACAAATATCCGCTCCCCCGTTTGCGAATCCCATGATAGTGGAACTAGTGAAGTCATTAGCTGTGAGCTCATTATCGGATTTTGCACATTTGTATTCCGTGTCATCTATCGCTGCTTAATCTGATTAGCTGATGACTTTATTTTAGAGATCATTCGGCTATGGAGTGCAAATAACAGATGCTTGATATTAGAAGACTTTAATGCACCTGACATTAGTTGGACTGAGATTATCACGAAAGGATCTATAAACTAATTTGATAGCAGGTTCTTGGAAACAGTAATGGAGCATGCATTAGTACAGCATGTATCCAAACCTACACGTTTTGGTGTAAACCAAGGTTCTTCTCTGTTGGACTTGGTAATTACTCATGAGACTGAGGATATTGCCAACCTAAATATTCTTCCCCTTTTAGTAAATAGCAATCACTCTGTTTTATCATTCACGTTTAGAGCTAGCGACATGGTATACGATCAGATTAAGCCTCGCCCAAACATATGGAGAGCTAACATACCAGCCATTTAGGAGTGTGCTGCTAAGATAGATTGGTCAGTAGATACTAGCTCATCAGTTGAAGAGGCGTGGTCTATATTTAAAGGCAAGTTTGGTGCAGTCACGTCCCCATTCATACCATACTTGGTACCACCTAGACCGAATAATAGTCCACCATGGATAAATAAACAAGTCAAAAAACTTCTTAGGCGTAGGAAAAAGTACTGGAATATGTTCATCTCTACTGGCTTAGAACAGTACAGGTCCAGCCATTGTAAGATGGGAAATACATGTAAAGCGTTAATTAGTAGGACTAGAAGGTCATATGAAAAACAATTGGTTAGGGATTGTAAATATAGTCCAAAACGGTTATTCTCGTATATAAAGAGGCGAACTCAGAGAAGTGATGGAATCCCATCACTTTTGATACAAGAAAATCCGTTAATTTTGGCAAGAAATTATACCGAAAAAGCCGAAGCTTTATCGGAATACTTCAGCAAAGTTTTTTCTACCCATAATGAGGAACGACCACCTATCCATTGTGATTGTGGTGTCTTGTTGATGGAACCTGTAGTTATTGAAAAAGTTACTGTCTTAAGACTACTTCAGCATCTCAAGCCTGATAAGTCCAGAGGTCCTGATGATATTCATCCTAGGATTATGAAAGCCCTATCACATAAAATTGCTGAACCTTTAGCAGTACTGTTTGATATGTCCCTGCGGCAGTCCAAATTGCCCAGAGACTGGAAAGACGCGATAATCAGTCCGGCGTATAAGGTTGGGAGTAGGGATTTAGTTGGTAACTATCGACCCGTCATCTTAACTAGTGCAGTTGTAAAACTGATGGAAAAAATTATTAGGATGGCTGTTATAAACCACGTGGAAAAACATGATCTTTTGTCCAAGGAACAACATGGTTTTCGGAAAGGCCTATCATGTTTGACAAATCTTCCCATTGCAAGAGAAGATCGGGCTGAGGCAAAAGATCACAATATTCCTGTAGATGTCATTTTCATAGATCTAAGTTAAGCCTTTGATAAGGTTTCATATACTGGTCATAAATTAAAACTGGAATGTTTTGGAATTCATTATGCAGTCATAGACTGGATAAGTGACTTTCTTCATGACAGGAGACAAAGGGTAAGAGTAAATGGAGCTCTCTCATCGTGGGAACCAGTAAAAAGTGGAGTCCCCCAAAGCACAAATTTAGGTCCTCTTCTCTTTTTACTTTACGTAAATGAATTACCAACTATAGCTGAGTCATCCGTCCTACTATTCACCGATGACATAAAGATTTGGAGACCCATATATAGCACGTCAGACAGAATAGTTTTACAGGAAGATCTTAACTCATTGGTGGCATGGATGAACGGGTGGTCAATAGAAGTAAGTCCTAACAAAAGTATAGTGATGCAATTAAATAACTACGATGATTCGTATTACTACACAATATGTGGACTAGTGTTGCCCAAAGTAAGAAACTATAAAGATTTAAGAGTCATACAAAGTAATGATCTCAAAACAACCAGTCACTGTAAGGCTGCTCCTTCAAAAGGCTATAGGTTATTATGATCTATTCGTGGATCTTTCCGGTATCTGGATGAGGAAATA